GGAGAATCACCGCATCAGAGCGGGTAGTTGGTGAGAGCTCTAGGAAAGCCATCCGCCAAGTGGGAGTCCAGGGCAACATTGTGCATTTGAGGCCAGCCTGGGATACACACCAATAGCCTACCTTCAAGGAACAAAACAAAAACCAAACAAAAGGTACAGGAGGTAGAATCTGCCTTAACGGATAAAGATGTGTCTGCTGAAAGAGAGCAATGAGGATGCACTCATTCGTCACTCAGTTCCAGGGCCAACCACAGCACAAACTAAAATACAAGTAGTAATAGACTGGAGTAAAATATTTTTTAATGAACTATCTTTAATCTTCAGCATAAGAGAGATAAAGAAGAATGAAATTTCAAGTAAAAAGGCTTGACTATCGTATAACTGTGAACAAGCAGAAAATTGAGCCGGGCCTGAGGAGTTTTGAGTTCAAGTCCTGGTGGTACCTGTGACACCTGAGCCAAGTGATTCACCTCTCTCTGCTCCAGGAAAGCCAACATTTGTCATGAGACTGAGGATCAAAATGCTTTATAAGGGATGTGTTGCATCCAAAGCAGACTAACGTAAAATCTGATCAATGGCATATTTTAAAAAATCATCCATAAAATAGCTATCATTTTTCAGTACTTAACATAAGTGCTAGGACATATTCCAGGACAGTCACATTCATTATCTATTTTAATTATCACTTTAAGTTCCAAGAGAGAGCAAGCCTGATAAAAGCAAGTTAAAAAGGTGGCATAAGACCATTTATTAGCAATAAAGGGCAAAGCTATAGTTCAAACCAGTCTGGATCTGAAGCCTATGCTCTCTCACTAGCCCCTAAGAATTCAGTGACAAAAAATGAGGCATTCCCAGAAAAGTGTGTTTTCTGATCACATGTAACTTCAAATTGTAAGTACCTAAGCATAAAAATAATAAGATACTTTTTTGGCATTCACCAGCCATAGTGGAACCTTTGTTCAATTATCACATGATAAGGTCCAAATACTCCTATTGAGAGCCACTTTGCCATGCTCGGCTTACCACACTTCTCCCCCGGCTAAAGCTGACAGCATTTGCCCACACTTCATCTCAGCCATAGTGGCCTCCATCTGTAAACCAGGTAGTGTAATAGAAAGAAACCTAGGTCAACATGGCCCTAAGAAAGAATCTGAGAATCTTTCCCACCAAAAACACGTCAGTCTAGTTCCACTATTTTCTTCTCTGCTTTCCTCCAGGCATAGCTGTTATCTGTAGTGACAAGAGCCCCAGAAGAAAAGACACCCAGGTAAATGGAACCTTACTAAGCTAAAGAATAGCATCTTCCCTTGCAGTATCACCTCATTACTTTAAATTCCAACCGACTAAATCTTACTGCTCTAAAACTGTAATGGCAGCGTTAAAATACAGTCTTCCCGAAGGCCTTGGAGAGCGAACTCGTCAGGAGACGTAGGTTGTGCTTGGTTGCTTACTACTTGACACAACATGTATTAAACAACAATGCAATAAAGACTGTGAACACAGTCAGTGGTGATGAAGCCAAGTGCTTTCAAGAAGCACCTTCTTCAGAGGTGCAAGCACAGGTCAGTGATGCAGCACTTCCTTAGAATGAGCAAGATCCTAGGCTCTTGCTTTAGCCTAAACCTAATCTAACGGTATTCCATCGCTCATCCCTAATGCAAACCAGCAGGGAGAGTGGATAAATCCTCTCACAGAATATGTCAAGCCTAGAACTGACTAAACAGCATTTCATTGTTCACTGGGTATGTCTCCTTTCATCTGGCCAAGAAACTGCAGACTCCTTGGGGAAGGGACAGCTTATACTGGCTTTTTAAAGACTATTTCAGGACCTCACAGAATACCTTCCATGCAGCAAAGATGCAAAGTTCACCAAGTGTCTAGAGCATCCACTGAGTGCCTAGACTCAACTATGTAACTAACTCTTCAGCCCTCTCCACTCTCTCCCCATCACTCTTGCCCATGTGACTGAAAAAAATATCTACAATAGCAGTGGCATGATAGAACCTCTGTTTTAAAAGTGAGATCTTGGGGCTGCAGAAACAGCTCAGTGGGTAAGAACACTGGCTGCTCTGGCAGAGGACCCGGCTTCAGTTCCCAGTTCCCACATGGTGGCTCACAGTCATCCCTAACTCCAATTCCAAGGGATCTGACGCCACCTTCTAACTTTCCGTGGGCACCAGCATGCAGGCAAAACGTGCATAACAAAAATAAATCAATCAAAAATAAAAGTCATTTAAGCTCTCAGCAAGGTTCCAAGGAAAACGTAACACTACCGCTAAGCTTATTTTCTCAGAGATGACTGATTAATGCAAAATGCCTATTTTTAACACACAAGGCTAACACATTACAAGTAAACAGTCACCTAAATAGCTCACACATACAGTCTGTATGTCTGTGTATGCATGGGTAATACGTGTGCGGTGCGTACCCGGGTGTGTATACACGTGTGTGCCCACACTTGTGCATTGGGTGTCCTGTTCTATCACCCTCCGCTTCCCTTGAAACAAGGTCTCACGCTGAACCTGGAGGCTGGTGGCCAGCAATCCTCTGTTGTCCTCCTGCCTCAACCTCCCACAACGCTAGGATTGCAGGTGCAGGTAGCTACGCCTACCTTTTGAACATATGTGCTAAGGATTTGAACTCAGGTCCTTATGCCCACGCAGCAAGCTCTCTTACCCACTGAGCCCTCTCCCCAGCCCCATAATCTGTATATTTTAACTACATAAACCCCTTCTTAGCTCTCGTTAACTGGTACCTATCTGCATGATGAGGACTACAAGCACAGTGCGATGACCTCAGATTTCTGTTCGTTTGGATTTTCAGGCGTTCATACTTCATTAAGAATTTCTAAGACACAGGGTCCCCTAATCGGGTTTTTATTTTATACATGGTGCCACCCGTGTCCCATGCCCCCCATCACCAGCTTTAGTAACATAAATTATTCCACAGTAAACTACTCATACAGTACCTGTTAGCTTTGGATTGTTTCCAATTGGCTTTTTTAATGCCCAAGTGCACACATGACTCAGTGAGCTCTATACTCGAGTCTCCTTCCGAGTCACCTGGAAGGACTCCGAGCTCTGCAGCAGAGTCATAGAGAGAAATCTCTTCCTTAAGTGCTGTTAATTCCTCCTAGAACAAAATACCAAAAACAACTTTTCTCATTTTCTTGGATAACAAAATCAGACATTCTGGGTTTCAAACTTTATTTTAATAATCAATAGAATGCAGAAAAATCATTCAAATACATTCTTAACATTCGTTCTAAATCACTTCATAAAGGCCAGTTCCTGCTGTGTGTTCAAATGAATATATTTTCGAATGAATGAAGAAGCAAAGGCAGGCATTTTTTTCTGCAACCCTTTGATTTAGAAATCCTCTTAGCTGAGATGCCTCTGCTGTTCTGGCTTCACTATAGCAGAGGATAAAACAGATAGCTTGGCCAGAGCATGCTATGTGTGCTACCTGCCAAAAGTGTCCTATACTCTGCCTGCAGGAGCGTGCTATGCTCTGCCTGCAGGAACAAGCTATACTCTGCCTGCAGGAGCGTGCTATGCTCTGCCTGCAGGAACAAGCTATGCTCTGCCTGCAGGAGCGTGCTATGCTCTGCCTGCAGGAGTGTGCTATGCTCTGCCTACAAGAACATGCTATACTCTATCTGCAGAAGTATGCTATGTTCTGCCTGCAGGAGTGTGCTCTGCTCTGCCTGCAGGAGCGTGCTATACTCTATCTGCAGATGCGTGCTATGCTTTGCCTGCAGGATCAACAGGAGAGCACCTCCTTCAGCAGAGGGAACACTAGAACCCCTCTCCAGCATCTTCCTTACCTTTTAGGAAAATTAAAGTGTATGGAGAATGTGAGAGAATCAGAGCCCGATTAAATATTCCCGACACCTGCAGAGGCAAGAGACGGTAGACTGACAGGAGGAGGCAGAGGCCTGGCTGTGCAGTTCATCAGAACTGGGCTGGAACACCTAGATCTAACTAATAGTGGTGTGGGAAGAGATCCTGAAAAGCTTCCCTGGCTGGTCTAAAGATGGTCTGGCCACTTTTATTGCACAGAGAGCATTGCCCCCGTCTCTTCTGGGAGACAGTACTCACCTGCAGAGCCTTATTCATGCTCTCACTTAGGATGTGGGCCTTCTGCGCTTGCTGCAACTGTAGTTGTAGCTGAGCCACCTCCTGCATGGAGCCTGCGAGAGAGAGTCACAGGCTATGTAACTGAAAGGAAGCATGGTGTTCACGTCTACAGGACTGGGACCCACCAAGGCTTGAGACGGAGTCTGCTTTATTGTTATGATTTTAGGGCCACACAGATAGCCATGAGAGACCTCAAAGACCAATCCACAGGTGCCTGAGATTTAGGGCTCAAGGAGCTCACGGCCTTGGACCCTGTAAGCGCTAAGTGGTGATTGCTGCACCCACAGACCACAGCAGTCATCTGGTGGGGACAGAGGTTCCAGCTCACAGAAGCCAAGAAAGGTCTACCCTTCCATTTCTGCCCTACAAGGAAACTGTATCTTGCTGCTTGTAAAATGCTTCTACTTCCAACATTCCCATCTCCATACAGAAAAGGTGTACATTACAGCAGTATTTATAAAATTTTAGCAAACTACTACTATTTTAAAGATTTGCATTTGTGTGTGGGTGCGTGCGTGCGTGTGTGTGTGTGTGTGTGTGTGTGTGTGTGTATACACCCACCCACTGAGGCCAGAAGTGTGTGTGTGTGTGTGTGTGTGTGTGTGTGTGTGTGTGTGTGTGTGTATATACACCCACCCACTGAGGCCAGAAGAGGGTGTCAGGTCCCCTGGAGCTGGACTTACAGTTATGAGCTCTATGGGAGCTGTGAACTGGACTCTATTCCTCTGCAGGAGCAGGAAGTGCCCTTCAATTCTGAGCCACCTCTCCATCCCCAACAAACTCATAGTTGAAGTGTACTAAGAGATTCTAGTTCAAAAGGTTGATTGAGGGTTTCTTTAAATGAAAACAGCCTTCTCAGAACACAGCTGGGGGAAATAATCATGGTTCAAAGCCTTTCACAGCCAAGGAAAAGACTCACCAAGTCATGGCAAGGGGGAAGGTTGATCGATAGCTAAGCAGGGCTAGAGGAGAGCCTAAAGAGAATAGGGTCCAAAACTGGTCCCTCAGCAGAACACACAGAGCCACAGGCAGCCTCTAACTTTAGTATTTTCACTGTATAGTTAACCCACACTCCCACACCCTGACTCACTTACGTTATAAAATGTGACTTGTGTGTATATTAGCTAATAAAAATCCAGACTGACTGTCAACCAGAAATGAGGATAATTTTGTCTATCCCATAGTCTGTTTATCAACTTGACGTTTCACTGCCTTTAACAGTACTTTATAAAATAATTGGAAGCACCGCCACCATGAAAAGCATAGGAAATGTTTCAAATACCACAGAGGCCACGCTAGAAATCTTAACAGTGACAAAAATGTAACCCAGTGTCCAGGTAAGTAGCTGACCATCGTGAGGGAATAACAAAACCGAAGTTAAACAAAATGACAGAACTATTTAATCGGGCAACTACCATGAGATCGCAGAGTCAAAGGTGGCCGAGAACTTCTGCATTTTTGGAGAGGAGCGCCACCTGGCATGTGAGTTCCTTTCCTTTCCCTTGCAGGAAGCAGTTTCAGGCACCACAGCACCGGTTGGGAGGAGGAGGAAGAGGAGGAGGAGGACGAGGAGGACAAGCAGTGCTGGTGGTGGTTATTGGATTGTACCCTTGCCTGTATTTTCCAGATTATATAACAGAAAAAAAAAAAAAAAAAAACAACAACAAAAAAAAAAAAAAAACCTGTGCCTTTAGTATGGAGTGCACATATAATCTTTTCTAAAACAATCTGACTTCTGGTGAACCTTTCTGTCTCCTCTGGCTTTTTATACTTCAGGGCTCTGAGCTGGTGAGATGGCTCAGCGGGTAAAAGTGCAATTTGTGTCAGGAAGGGTTGGCAAGACAGCTCGAGTCTGAGCTCCAGAACTCAGGTCAAAAGAGAGGAGCAACTCTGAAAGTCGTCCTCCAGTCTCTACACGTGAAATGGCATGCTCGTGCAAGCCCACGCTCCTACACACCTCATAAAAATAAGTAAAACTGTAGTTCAGGGAGCCAGCTACATTCTGTACACGTCACAGGGGTCTCTGGGGAACACCCCCAGCACACGCACCTGACTGCAGCAGGTGGGCGCACTGCTTCTGGCTGTCCTCAAGGCTCCTCGTCAGCCTGTTGATGAGCTCAGTCTTCTCTAACTTGACTGCTTCGTGGTTCCTCTCCAGCTGCTGCACGTGATCCCTCAAACGTGCACAAACATTTTCCTAAGCAGAAGAAAAGTTGGCAAGTCATTTTCACAATCAGTGTTAGAAGAAAGGACACTGTCAGACTTAAAATCACCACCTGGTCCTATGATCTCTTTCACAGGGTTAACCTGTGCACAGGATGAGAACAAGAGAATACGTGGCCTGAGGGGGAGGCCCAGCTAACAGAGAACCCCGTAAGATACTTTATTCTAAACTCAGTTCTACTCATGCCAAAGGAAATAGGTTACAGTTCTGTTTGCATTTTATGCTGTGTTAACATGTATATGCACAAATGCAGGAAAACCACTTTGAGTCATGAAATCCATATCCTCAGACAAGGAAACAGATGAAAACATGGAAACTCTGTTCTGAGCAGCCAATGGCTGATTCTATTTAGGGCAGCCAAAAATAATCTTTCCCTCCTGAGTCTCTCTTAAATTTGATCTGTTTCTCTAATATTCCTCTTTCTACCTCTTACACATCCTACTTGTCTCCCAAAGGCATCTCTGCATTATGTTGTGCATAAAAGGCATTATAATGAATACTTGAAAACTTAATGACAAAAAAGACACAGTAATTGTTGAGTGTGCCTATTCGAGGATATATAGAAAATAGACACTGTGGGAGAAGGATCAGTATGCCTACATACATACATGGAGAGAAAAAGATACTGTGTATACAGCAGACATTTCTTCACTAAGAAAACATATGTGGAAATCAAAAAACATGGGAGTTTGGAGCCCAAGTAGAAGAAACCATCACTGTAACAATCATCACATCTCAGCTAAAAGCTGCTCAGGCTGAATGTCAATCAAAGCAGGAGAAAGGCAGCAGGCAGATCAGTGTAGCAACAGTCTGAAACTCCCTGAGAAAAGCAGTAGCAAGAGCTCTGAAGTAAGAACACATGGGCCTTTGAGACCAGATTTCCTGACAGCCTGAACCTCAGTAATGCTCTTGCCATGGATACAGGGATGCCCGAAATACAAATAAAATGGAAATATCCCTGTGCAAAGGAAAAGGGCACTGAAGGTTTTCACCTGTGAGTTGTGTTTTCTATGTCATCATACAGCTATGTTTGCTTTAAATTTCTCTACCAGATTTTTAGCAAAATGAAGCTTCTGGAAAGCAGTCCATGTTTATTTAGTACTGCAAAGCTCTTGGCACGCTGCTGCTGTTGTTTCCCAGGCCAGCTTGGGAAGCACAGGTCTAACGAGCCAGCAGGACGTGGCTGAGGCATGATGAGCTAATAGGAATGCAGTACAAATGCTCATCATGATGGGGTGGCAAGGCATCCCATATTCTAGAGGTCTCAGTAGTTTTGAATTGTTGCAATCTGCTCTATACAGTCTTTTCTACATAGAAAACTTGGATGTTTAAGGAAAGTATAAAGTTAATAATATGCTATAACCCTGTATTCTCAAATTTCACTAGGGACACAGATATTCAAAAACCTTGGCGGTGTCGGACTTGCACGCCCCCCATTCCATGCAAGTAGGCAGTCTCTGGGCTGAATTCTGTCCTTCAAAATACAACTAGCAACCTTTCATGATTTAAAAGAAAAATAAGCCTTAAGAACTTTCTAAATCTAGCATACTTTACAGGAAAAGCTGAAACTTTTCCACAAAGAGGAGGACCAGGGAAGATGCCCCATCTTGCCTTTGAGCACCATGTTAGAAGTTCTTGTTAAGAAAATGAAATAAAGGGAATACAAGTGACAAAAAAAGACAGCAAAACTCTCTTTGTCCATGAATGACATGATCTACTACACAGAAAATCAGAAGAAGGGAAACCCTACTAAAACGAGTACGCGACTACAGAATGCAGCTAATGGGGGGAAAACGCTTTCCTGTATACCACAAAGAGCAAGTAGAATTTGAAATTTAAAAAGTCATGGCATTTACAATACCACTCCAAAAATGGAGAAACTACAAAACTCTGACAAAATCAATAAAGAAGTAAATAACTGGACAGAAATTCTATGTTCACGATAAAAAAACTCACTAGAATCAGGATGTCACTTGCTCCCAATGAGACCTACAGAGTCTGTGTGCTCTCAGCATCCCAGTAAGGTACTCGCTGAGTACCTGATGGTGATGAGTTCCACACATCACCATCAAGTTGTGAGGATGTGAAAGTCACACTGTGGAATGAGGGAACTAAGCACAGGGGGCGGGAGGTGAAGTCATGGGAAATTCTTTACCTTTCTCTCACTTGTGGTATGAATCTGACTTTTGTAGCACTCTTCCAATTAGGAAGCAATTGGATTATAAAATTATACAGATCAGATACTAGTATTTGGCTCCTTATTACAAACCCTGCTGAGCCAATTGATAACAAGTTTACAAAGGACAGACCGCAAAAAACACTCCCAGGGTTGGGGGATAAGACACAGTAAATAAGACACAGTGGTCTAGAGTCTGAAGCCCACGCTGCACAGAACCAAGATTCTGTCCTATCTTCTAGTCGAAGGCCCCTTTTCTGGAGTGGTGATGGCAGGCATGGGATCAGATAAAGAAGCCACAGGCACAGGCTTTGAGTCATTACCCGTCCTGCAATAACCACAGACTGGAAGGAACTGGTTGTAAGAGAGTGGGCTGAACCTGGAGGGTTACTTACTCCTCATGGCTTGCTCAGCCTGTCTTCTTATGGAACCCAGGACCACCAGCCCAGGAGCGGCCCCGCCCACAATGGGGCCTACATCAATCACTAATTTTATAAATGCTCTACAAACCTGCCTACAGCCAATCTTATGGAAGCATTTTCTCAATTGAGCTTCCCTCCTTTCAGGTGACTCTAGCTTATTATGTCAAATTGACATAAAAACTAGTCAGGAAATATGTATAAATATATATATTTATGTTATGTGTGTATACATATGTGTGTGTGCATTATATATACACACAAATGCACTTAGCCCAAAGATTTGTCTTATACAGCAATGACTATGACCAGTCCACAAGAGGTTTGGTGTGCAATTTCCAATTTGAAGCATCTGTCAGCCATTAAAGTACTAGATTCCAGATATCCAACTTCTATTCTCAAAAAAGCCATTTCTCAACACTCCTTATTGAGAGGTGGATGCTCAGAGATCTACAAAGGGCTCCGGGTCAACCTTGGGCTCTGGCCAATGCCAATACACTCATGCCCTTCAGTTGGCATTTACTCTACAACAGTATCAACAATACATATAAATATTTTAAAAAATAAGGGTATCAACTGATCCTACAAAAAAGGTATCCAAAACAGGGTTTCAGATATACTCATGATTAGAAAACAAACAAACAAAAAGGGGGGGAAATTAGTCACAATTTTACACCTATTATTATCAACAAAATTTCTAACTGGCAGATTACAAAATATCCAACCTTAGTCAACTGACAGTGCTCATTAGGAATCACCTGACCTGTTCCTGAAGGGCTGTTACGGTAGCATCCAAATTCTTTTGTAAGGATAACACCTGCTCTTCGTACTTCTGCGTGAGGCCCGAGACAATGCTCTCATGCTGCTCTCTGGCTCGCTGAAGTGACTCGGAATGATGGAGCTCTACCAGTTGCTGTTTCAAACTTTCCAGGGTGATCTCGGTTGTTCTGGCCTTCTTGGTCAGCTAGCAAACAAACACAGGGCACCCATGTTAATACACCTTAACTGTACTCCTGATGGCTGCCCCAGTTGCAACTCTCGAGCCCAGCCCGCTGGGAACAGTCACTCACTGACAAGCTAGAAGGCACATGGTCATGCAGAGGGTGAATGCGGATTCTGAAGAGCAAGGGGCCCCTGCTGCGGCATTAGCCCTAGCACTGTTTGCATCATTCTGTTAGCAAAGCGAGAGGACACCCAGTTGTAGGGTCCCAAAAAAATGTTGCTCCTTCAGAGGCTGCAAACCTAAGAATGGTCATTTGCTAAATAAAAAGTTGTTTGGGTTTGTTTTTTTTTTTTTTTTTTTTGTTTTTGTTTTTGTTTTTGTTTTTTTTGAGACAGGATCCCACTGTCTGCCCAGGCTGGCTTCAAATTCCCAGGGTCAGGTAACCTTGCCTCAGCCCCTGAGTGGCTAGGAGGACAAGCCACCACATCCCAGCATAAAGAGTTCTCAAAGGGTAGCTGATACTGTAGGTAAAATAATCTGTGATTATGTAGGCTTTTTTTTATTAGTTACATTTTATTAACTCTGTATCCCAGCTGTATCCCGCTCCCTTATTCCCTCCCAATCCCATCCTCCCTCCCTCAGCTCCTCCCTGCCCCTTTCCAAGTCCACTGATAGGGGAGGACCTCCTCCCCTTTCATCTGACCCTGTTTTTTCAGGTATCTTCAGGACTGGCTGCAAAGTCCTCCTCTGTGGCCTAGCAGAACTGCTCCTCCCTTGGGGGGTGGGGAGGTCAAAGAGCCTGCCATTGAGTTCCTGTCAGAAATAGTCCCTGTTCCCCTTACTACGGGAAACCAATTGGTTACTGAGCTACCACGGCTACATCCGAGCAGAGGTTCTAGGGTATACCCATACATGGTCCTTGGTTGGAGAAACAGTTTCAGAAAAAAATCCTGTGCCCAGATATATTTGGTCCTTGTGGAGCTCCTATCCTTTCCACGTCATACTAACTCCCCTTCTGCCGAAGGTTTGGTTATGAGTCTTAGTATCTGTTTTGAAACACTGCTAGGTATAGTCTTTCAGATGCCTTCTGCGGTAGACTCCTGTCATACATCCAATGCACATCCCATTTGTCTTTCTAAGTGAGAATTGATCATCATACCCCGTGTCCACTTTCTTGATTATCTCCTTTAGGTATATAGACTTTATTATGTTTATCATATCTTGTAGGTCTATACAAGCGAGTATATACCATGTTTGTCTTTCTCCTTCTGGGATACTTCACTCAGAATGATCTTTTCTAGATCCCACCATTTGCCTGCAAATTTCATGATTTCCTCATTTTTGATTGCTGAGTAGTATTCCATTGTGTAAAAATACCACAATTTCTGTATCCATTCCTCCATTGATAAACATCTGGGTTGTTTCCAGGTTCTGGCTATTACAAATAAAGCTGCTATAAACACGGTTGAGCAAATGTCCTTGTTGTGTACTTGAGCAAATTTTGGGTATATACCTAGCAGTGGTATAGCTGGGTCTTGAGGAAGCATTATTCCTAATTGTCTGAGTAAGCGCCAGACTGACATCCAAAGTGGTTGTACCAGTTTACATTCCCACCAGCAGTGGAGGAGGGCTCCCCTTTCTCCACAACCTCTCCAGCATGTGTTGTCACTTGAGTTTTTCATCTTGGCCATTCTGATGGGTGTAAGGTGAAATCTCAGGGTTGTTTTGATTTGCATTTCCCTGATGGCTAATGAGGTTGAGCATTTCTTTAAGTGTTTCTCTGCCATTCGATATTCCTCTATCGAGAACTCTCTGTTTAGCTCTGTTCCCCATTTTTTAATTGGATTACTTGGCTTGTTGCTTTTCAGCTTCTTTAGTTCTTTATATATACTGGATATTAGCCCTCTGTCAGATAAAGGGTTGGTGAAGATTCTTTCCCAATCTGTAGGCATTCATTTTGTTTTGATGATGGTGTCCTTTGCTTTACAGAAGCTTTTCAGCTTTGTGAGGTCCCAATTTATTGATTGTTGCTCTTAGAGCCTGTGCTGTTCTGTTCAGGAAGTTGTTTCCTGTGCCAATGAGTTCTAGGCTGTTCCCCAGTTTTTTTTCTAACCGATTTAGAGTATCTGGTTTTATGTTGAGGTCTTTGATCCACTTGGACTTTAGTTTTGTGCAGGGTGATAAATATGGATCTATTTTCGTTTTTCTGCACGTAGACATCCAGTTGGACCAGCACCATATGTTGAAGATGCTGTCTTTTTTCCACTGAATGGTTTTGGCTGCTTTGTCAAAAATCAAGTATTCATAGGTATGTGGGTTTATTTCTGGGTCTTCTATTCGGTTCCAATGATCCTCCTTTCTGTTTCTATGCCAGTACCATGCAGTTTTTATTACTATTGCTCTGTAGTACAGCTTGAGATTGGGGATGGAGATACCTCCAGATGATCTGTTGTTGTACAGGATCATTTTGGAGATTATGGGTTTTTTTGTTTTTCCATATGAAGCTGAGAATCTTTTTTTTCAAGGTCTGTAAAGAATTGAGTTGGTATTTTGATGGGAATTGCTTCTGGCAGGATGGCCATTTTCACAATGTTAATCCTACCAATCCATGAGCATGGGAGATCTTTCCATCTTCTGAGATCTTCTTCAATTTCTTTCTTCAGAGACTTGAAGTTTTTCTCAAACAGGTCTTTCACTTGCTTGGTTAGTGTCACCCCAAGGTACTTTATGTGATTAGTGGCTATTGTGAAGGTTGTTGTTTCCCTTATTTCTTTCTCGGCCCTATTGTCTTTGGTATACAGGAGGGCTTCTGATTTTTTTGAGTTGATTTTGTATCCTGCCACTTTGCTGAAGGTGTTTATCAGCTGTAGGAGTTCTCTGGTTGAATTTTTGGGGTCGCTCATGTGTACTATCATATCATCTGCAAAGTGATACTTTGACCTCTTCCTTTCCGATTTGTATCCCCTTGATCTCCTTTGGTTGTCTTATTGCTCTGGCTAGGACTTCAAGTACTATGTTGAAGAGGTATGGAGAGAGTGGGCAGCCTTGTCTTGTCCCTGATTTCAGTGAGATTGATTTAAGTTTCTCTCCATTGAGTTTGATGTTGATTATAGGCTTGCTGTATATTGCCTTTACTATGTTTAGGTATGTGCCTTGTATCCCTGATCTCTCCAAGACTTTAAACATGAATGGGTGTTGGACTTTGTCAAATGCTTTTCCGGCATCTAAGGAGATGAGCATGTGGTTTTTCTCCTTCAGTTTGTTTATGTGGTGGATTACATTGATGGATTTCCATATGTTGAACCACCCTTGCATGCCTGGGATGAAGCCTACTTGGTCATGGTGGATGATATCTTTGATGTGTTCTTGGATTTGGTTTGCAAGTATTTTATTGAGTATTTTTGCATCAATGTTCATAAGAGAGATAGGTCTGAAGTTCTCTTTTTTTGTTGGGTCTTTTTGTGGTTTAGGTAACAAGGTGACTGTGGCTTCATAGAATGAGTTTGGTAATGCTCCTTCTGTTTCTATTTTGTGGAATAGTTTGGAGAAAATTGGAGTTAGCACTTCTTTGAAGGTCTGGTAGAATTCTGCACTGAATCCATCTGGCCCAGGACTTTTTTTGGAAGGGAGACTGTTGATGACTGCTTATATTTCCTTGGGGGGAAATAGGACTATTCAATCTTTCTACCTGATCTTGACTTAATTTTGGTAAATGGAATCTATCAAGAAAATTGTCCATTTCTTTTAGGATTACATAGGCTTTATAGCAAGAAAAACTAAAGCTGCAGATGGGATGAAAGTTGCTATCACAGAATCTTAAAATAAGGAAACTCTGAAGGGAACCATTTGGTTCAAGATCTTCACGCTTTCAGAATTTGTCAATAACTGACTTTATACCCTTGGGTAAGTAATTTGTCCTTCTAAGACCTGCATGACACATGTATAAAATGATGGAAGCATAGTGCCTTTCCAATCAGAAAACATTAAACATTGATCTATAAAATCTAAAGAAAATTCAAAAAATTTTAAGTAGGGACATCCCTTATTTGCCAATTTTAAAATATACCATAAAGCTATCATCATGAAAACATTCAAACAGGAACAGAAAAATATGTAAAAAGAAAACATATATACAACTTAAGTTAATTCCAAGCAACATTCACTCAGCATATACTAACCAACTACAGGCCAAAATCTGGCCTACATGGCAGAGCTACAAGCATGAGGCTACCCTAATGATGCCTTCAAGACATCTCTGTCTGTTATAACAGGGTAATCACCCTGAGGAAAGAGATTTGGCAGTAAAAAGATGCAAACAAGTGGCAGTGGCCATGGAACAGGCACTCCTAAGACTGAGGTGAAAAGAGATGACCCACAAACAGCAGGCCACCCTGTCCTCATAGGTGAAGTAGGTCAGGCAAAGCCTTTAAGCAAGAAAAAAAAAATTAGAACTGTATTCTGGAAGGATCATCCAGACGGCTGTAAGAGAATTTGCAAAAAGGGCAAAGCTAGAGTAGTTGAAACTTTTGGAGAAAGAGCATTAAAGTCCAGAAAAGACAGAAACGTAGCCGTCAACAGAGAACTGCCTCCTCCTCCTGGCAGTGAGCAGCAGGCATCTGTGAAATGAAGTTCTTCTGAATTTAGTCTTAAAGTAAGGGTTTGTTCTTTGAATTATGTATGTACACATGTGAATGTTGTGCCCGCATAAATATCTGTGAAACACATGTGCCTGGTGCCCTGAGGCCAGACGAGGGCATGGGATCCCCTGGGACTGGCTGCAAGCTGCCATGTGGGTGCTGGGATTGAACCCTGTCCTCTGAAGAGCAGCCAGTGCCCTTACCTGCAGAACCAGCGCTCTAGCACCACACCAAAGTTTTGATGAATATCGATGAAGTTTACCTTCTCTTCACTGACTTTGAACGCTTGTATCTGGGTCTCCAGTGTTTTTATCTGTGCTTCAAGCTGGATCTCCCTTTCCTTTCCATTCTGAAAAAGTTTCTGGGATTCCAGAAGGCTGAGTGTCAAACCATCCTTTTCATCTGGAGCAGGAAAGATATTTACATAAATAATGTCACAAGCTCTATGAGATCTATATCTGAATGAAATTCAATTCAGATAAATGAGTTTTAGTTGCTTTAGGGAAAAATAACCCAAAAATTATTTTAAAAATATTTGATGGCAAAATAATTTAAAGAACCAGAACCACGGCCTGTAAATCCTTACTGAACCCCTTCCCAGCAAAGGAAAATGCCAATACTTCTGGCATCTGTTCACTTTGGAAGCTCCACAGATAAAGCTCGTGCCAATCCAAAAGGTGCCATAGCTGTACACATAAGTGATTCCAGTACTCCAAAGGATGAGGCAAGATCACGGGGCCACGAAGTGAGGCCCTCACCCCTTCACACACCTGGAAGGAATTCTTAAATTCCCCAGTCTTTGGTCTTTCCCAAATACTTCACAAACATTTCACAAGTTGCCCTCTCCAAAAAGACTATGTGAACATTACAGAGAGAGCTTTTGCTTCACCAACAACTAAATTTGAAACGAGCTAGAATTGTCATAAAGTTGTTCTACAAATAAACAACGAAATATTGACTACAGCTAGAGCCCAAAAGAATAAGCAGTCAGGACCTGATCTGTTTCCTCCAAATGGTTATACCAGAAATGGCAATGAGGGTCCCTAACTTCTACTGCATTATAAACTAAACATGTGTCCTATATCACTATATCAAGTTATTATACATATATACATATATACTTGTGTATCTATGTGTGTATATATATATCATCAAGATAATGATGTAAAAGTCAGGAGCTGTTAGGGTGGAAAGCTGTCAGCAAAGTTAAACAATGCCCACACGCTCCAACTGACTCCAACACCTGGGAGGAGGAGGGAAACAAAATGAAAGGAAAGGAGAAAAGAAAACAGCCTGCAAACACTAGTCACAGAAGTCCTGGGCTTGGGATCTGCTGACTCAGGTGAGCCCTCTGCCCCGGTCAAACGAGGGTATTGGAAATGAAAAGCACAAGAAGCTAAAGGAGATTAAAATGAACTTATTAGATACCAACTGCCCAGCTCGTGGGGGAGGGGGTTCCAGGCCATCAGCCACCTCACCTTGTACTATTAACAGCTGGTGGTTCAGATACCGAATCTGGCGTTCACTTTCGTTCAGCTTGGCAACTAAGCTGTCCAGTTGCCTCTCCCTTGCTTTGTTAAGAACCTGGAGTTGAATAATATGTATATTTTCTGCAGAGTCTGCTTTGGAATTAGAGACAATTTATTAGATAAACACACACTAAAATCTGCGACAAGCTAGGGTAGTGTATTTCAAGCTTTTTATACAACTTGGTAGACTATCATGAAACCAATTCAGTAGACTGCGGCCTGCATCTTTTCGACCATGAAGACATCTTATCCAGAATGTATCAGAGAGCATCGTGTAGTGAGGACACAGTTTGTAAAGCTTTGGTTCCATTTCTGTGAGCGGACAGCTGAAGGACATACCACACGCTTTACCATGGGTCGCCTCCTGGCAGGAAGTCTCTGAGTTACATGTGGACAACTAACTAGCGTGCAGCCACAACAGAGCAACGTGCTGCCGCCAAGCAAAAGGCAATCAAGCGCAGGAGGTGCTGTGACACTGTCTGAAAACAACACTGATGGACAGCCTTGTCAATACATTCTCTGTAGCAGACGGGCGGGTGTTGTTTCATGTTTATATCGGCACATGACGGCTATGTTAACTAGCTAAGAGAGAGGGGAATGAACTCTGATGCCTTCTTCAGAAACAAAGTCACTGTAGAGAACACCCAGATCAGAGGAATAAGGAAAATGGCAGGTATAAGAAGAATAACACTTCAGCTCTGCAGTGACATTCTTCATTTGGCTGGTGCTTCTGTAAGCTTACATCAATAAATACATATAGAAAAATTTAAGTACTTATTAACAAAGCAATCTGCACTCTTTTCTAAATCAAAAAATAAATAAATAAAACCTAAGGCCAGGCATGGTGGTACACGCCTTTACTCCCAGCACTCAGGCAAAGGCAGGCAGGTTTCTCTGAGTTCAAGGCCATCCTAGTCTACATAGCAAGATCCAAACCAAGGCTATATATTGAAATCCCTACCTTTAAAAATTTTTTAAATAATAATAATAAATCTGAAGATTGAAAGCATCTCTCTGGCCTTACAGAAGGGAACAAAAATAAACTATCTCTAAGCCTCATCTCCTCAAATTCACTTTTTATTTTAAACTTTATTATAAAAAAAATTGCAAATAAAAAATTACACACCAAAATTAACCAGACCCAAAGTCTTTAAACTTCAATAAACTTCTAAATGGTTAAGAGTAGTCATTCAAAACAGAAACTGCAGAACTGCCCATTGGATTTTACATTTCACTATCAAATATATTTTGTGCACTTATCCACCATCAAAAACAAAAAATCCAAGGCAGAATTAGGAATAGATAAGCGATTAGTTCATGCCCTTTATCACAACCCATATTCATTTCCAAAAGTCTTTCCTTTTCCTCTAACATTTAGCCTTTCTTGTTCTCCTTCTTCGTGTTTTACTGTGCCCACATGTGCATTTATTTGCATATATGGCTTATATTACATACATTCCTAAGTTCCCATATGAAGGAGAACGCACAGATTTCTCTTCCTGAGGTTGTGTGGCCTTGAGCGAACTCTTTAACTATTGCTGCTGAGAAATTTGGCGCTACAATCAAGCTATTCAATTAGCTTCTAAATGTCAACTTTAAAAAGATGAATTATCAATCACCTTAGAAATGAATTAGCTTGATAAAATGTAGATTTTTAGGAATAGTAAGGAAAGACAAAGCAATGTCACTTCCTGGGAACTGAAGGGGCAGATTGGGGAGGGACTGTGATGATGATGTCACTCCACCCCAGATCACCTGGCCACATTCTTATTCTACTTCCTCACTGCACTTCCCTTAAGGAGAAGCCTCTCCTACACTTGCTGTTGATGCCTTCAAGGCAAATGAGCTCTGGGACTCTCTGCAGCTATCCTGTGGCCCAAACAACCCTAAAGCAACACTCTATCTCCAGACAGAGCAGTCTCCTGCTCTGCCTGGCCTAGCTCAGGTGTCCTATATTTAGGACAGCTTCTCCAGTTACTCTAGAGTCACACTGGCTCTTCAATACACAAAAGAATTCAAAGTTAATTTAATTCACCAGGAGCATGATGATAAGAGCTTCCATCTGTGAAAACACTCAGGACAATCAATGTACAGCTTTTTTGTTTGGGTTTTTAAAAATTTTTTTTAACTAGCATTTCATCTCAAAATCATCTACAGACTTTAAATGTTTTCCTTGTGGTCATATTTACACATACTCTACATCAAAGACAAAGGCTGCAGGATGCGGTGGTTTGAATAAGAACAGCCCTATAGACGCCTATATTTGAAAGCTTAGTCTCCAGGGAGGGGCACTAACTGAAAGGATTAAAAAGATTAGGAGCTATGGCGTTTGTTTTTTTTTGTGTTTTTTTTTTTTTTTTTTTGGAGGAGGTGTATCACTGGGGATAGGCTTGGAGGATTCAAAAGCCCATGCCAAATCCAGTCTCTCTCTCTCTCTCTCCTCCTCTCTCTGAGCCTTCAGACCATGATGTGGCTCTCACATGCTGCCATGCTCCCCGCCATGATGATAATGGACTAAACTCTGAAACTCTAAGCAAGCCCAAATTAAGCGCTTTCTTTTATAAGGAGCTGCCTTGGTCACGATGTCTCTTCACAGCAACAGAACAGTAACTGACTAAAACGGGGGCAAGTAACACATAACCAAACCCGAGATCAGCATCAGTTCTGAATACAATAGCACGTTTGCATAATCATCACACTAAAAAATATAAAAGGTAAAAGTAAAATTAAGAAATTCATAGCTGATTTGTTAATTGCATGTCTTCAGAGTGAGAAATCTAAGATTGGGGGGTAAGTATATTCATGTTCCAAAGCAGACAAAAAACAAGCAAGCAAGCAAACAAACCCACTAAGCTCAGAGCGGCTGAAATACACAGTGGGCGCTTTCCTCTGTCATTTTAGTTTCATATGTTTCGACATTAGGAAGCACAGCACATGGAATCCCAAAGCAGTTATGATTCACAGAAGTTTTATTTTATCTTCATCCCCACCAACATTTTTTTCTTGTGAGGTGCCAGCAATGAAAACAAGGGCCTGCCAAATGCCACACATGCCCTCCACCACTGCGCCGCCCTTGGCTTTTCTGAGACAGGGCATGGGGTCTCACCAGCAATTCCAGCTGGCCTGGAACGTTCTCATGTGTACTCAGGCTGACCTTGAGTGCTGTCACCGCGTACTCAGGCTGGCCCTAACTGACGGACATCTTCCCGCCGCCCCTCCTAACAGCTAGAGTACAGGTGAACCACCACTCCCTAGCTCAATATACTACTTCAAAATAAACGCTCAACTGCCCATTAATTTGCTTATAAATAACTCAGTATCTACCTTCCAAATAAGGAAACAGGGGCTCTTTGAAAGTTACTTTTAAAATATGAATTCTTGAATGTGTACAAAACTACTTTTTAAGCGTTCAAAATTCCCTAATTATGTTAACAAAAAATAAAATAGCTGGGTGCAGTAACAGACACCTCTACTTCTCATAGTTGGGAGGATGGAGCAGAAGGATTGCCATGAGTGTGAGGCCAGCCTGAGCAACACAGAAGGCCCTAAGCTCAACACAAAACAACAAAAACAGTCAAATAGAGGAAATATAAGTAGAACACCTACTTTCATTAGCTCCTAAAAATTGCTGCTGCAGGCCTTCAAACATGTCACTTCCTACTACCTCCTGGGCTGGTGAGTTACTGCTCTGCACAGAAGAGTGGTAAGGTTTATATATAGCTTTATATGGCGCCAGAGCTTGACAGTTGGGTCTTTGTAATGAGCCAAATTGCTAGTAAGGGATGACAAATAAAATTGACAATTAAAATTTGGTTTTTTTCCTTCCAAAATTACCTTGCTAGAAACCTCCCTCTACATTCTGAGTGCTGGAATTACAGATGTGCATCACCACACCTGGTTTATGCAATAATGGGGATGGAACCCAGAGCCACATGTGTGCTGAGCGAGCATTCTACCAACTGACCCACAATCCCCAAATCATGACCAACTTCTCACAGACATTTTCTCTCAAAAATAGTACTCACTGAACTAAACACTATTAATTACTTCATAGTCCTTTTGAGCATACAATGGAATCAATTTCAAAAATAAAACCTAGGGGGCTAGGGAGATGGCTCAGAGGTTAAGAACACTGGCAGTTCTTCCAAAGGTCCTGAGTTCAATTCCCAGCAACCACATGGTGGCTCACAACCATCTATAATGAGATCTGGTGCCCTCTTCTGGCATGCAGGTGTACGTGCCAGCAGGACACTGTAAATATAATAAATAAACCTTAAAAAAAAAAAAAAAAACAAAACTGCATGCTTCTCAGTTATGTGGGCCTGCATCCTACAAAAGCCAAAATCCAGAAGCAATGGTAAATGAGGAGCTGCTCCCTGACAGACTTAACATTTAATGTTTAAATAACTACGTCCAAAAAGCTTCCGTTTTAAACATCAGGTTTAGCATCACAATGCCATTAAATTATAAACAGAAAACAGACTATTTTATCATGAACCTGAGTGAGTAGAGTCAGAGAAACTGTTGTTACAATGTTTTACCACTGCATTCATGCACTTCCTTAAACACACAAACACCAGGCATGTACATGTACACACACACACAAATTCTTCAAAATCAGATTCTTACAGTACCTGACAACTGTCCCTCTGAGGATCCGAAAACGTAATGACACCGGCTGCCTGCTTGTGAAATTCTTGCTTCTGACCACCGGTGTACGGCCTAAAGTCTTCAGGGAGGTGGTACAGCTCTGTCTGCTCACGTTTGCTTGGAGGGCTGTAGCCACTTCCGCCCTCATCCCCGCCTTCTCCAGGTTGGTACCCGAGATGCTGCTCTTCAGTTCTACTTGGATTTTCTTCCCAGCCATTGCCACACTGTGCTCCAAAATAGAAGTCCAGGACAGCCATATTAGTCAACAAGAGTAAAACAAAGGCACTCACCTCTGGCCAACCCGCATCAGCGCTGTGGCACAACAGGCACTTACATTCCCACTGTGAGATTTGGGCAGTATGTCACGCTCAATCCACTTCCTGTCCAGTTGCTCAGAAGGATGAAATCTTGAGAGAAATCAATACTTTAGAGCTACACTTTATCATATTTAGCCAGAAATAACACAAAGAAGCCTAAGATTCTCGGATTTGTTTTTCCCCTCAGCCTGAACCCAAAAGTTTTAGAAATCAGTCTAAAGCTTAAGTTTATCTGATTACCAGCAGAGAATCAAGGAAGTTTGATGAAGTCCGGTCATGAACAAGAGGAAGTGATCGCAGGTACTTACTCTCCCGCTATGCCGTCCGTACTGCAGTCAGAGTCAAGGCGCTCAGGAGAGGAGAGGTCATCATCCAGCATGTCGTGAGGAAGGCCTGTGAGTAGCTGCTGCAACTGAGTCAGGGGAGTCACGTCAATAGCACACGGACTGAAACCGAAGATGCCACCCAAGCTGCTCTGAAGCCAGTGAGTGACTGTACGCAGAGGTTTCTTATGCCTCTTAATGAGTTTCTTAAATTGTCCATGCATCGTGTTCATCATTTCACTTGAGGAAAAGGGAAAGCATGACTCCAGGATTAACAGCAGGCCTTACACCCTTACAAGGGTGTCAGGTTTATATGCACACACACCACAACTGAAAAGCTTCTTTATAAAAACACAGCCAACCATGAATCATGGTAAATCGTGGTACCCTCTCACGGTGTCGGGTTCCACACGGCAGACCTGCCATCAGACATCCCACAGGAAATCTGAGTTGCCAGATGTACTCTGCCCAGGTGGTGGGAACAGCAGCAACAGCAGATGTCCTGGGCGCCCATAAGCTCTGGTAATGCCCTAGACACCCTCCAGGGAGTGACTGATTAGAGACAATTGCTTAACCTCCAGCATGAGGAGACACGTGATACTCTCTGCATACACTGAGAAAACAAGGCTAACTTCAATATCTATATGCAACTGCAGAATGATAGGAGTGATGGGAGCTGGGAAGACGGATGCCCAGGACCCGTGTATTCATCTTTCCAGCCCCCAACTCCTCTATCTTTTTAGAAGTCAAACAGTAAGTTCTGTCTTGTTGAATTATGAATTATAAATCCCTTCAAAATGACACAAGATGGCATAATTATAATCAGGTGTTGAACACTGGGCTCTGGAGCTTTTTTCAAGTAACTCACCTCTTTTTCCCTTTCATAGTCTTCTTTGTCAAACTCTTCTTCATTTTCTGTCTGCAGTGCTACACTGCCAAACTCCAATGACATGGTCCTCTTGGGGAGAATTGGGCCTCACTAAAACAAACAAACAAACAAACAAACAGCCATATGACAGCAAGTCACGACAAAGAAAAAATGCAAAAAGTCAACAAAACAGTGACCGACCAGGTTTTCCATGGGACTGAAAGGTATTTAGAGCATTAAGATGTTTGTAAACAAAAACTTAAAACACTAACAAACTAGAGAGACCAACATGGTTAGGGTTTCATGACTCCCTCTTCAGCAGTCAGGGGCCGGCATATACCACAGGGCAGAGGAGCAGGTTAGGACTATGCCACCATGCTGCTCTGAGTCTAAAAGCTCCCACGGAAGCCGCCACTAACATTGGATAGGCTTCTGGTTGTTTAAACTATACACGGAGACCCTGATACTCTACCTAAAGTCCCCAAATTCCAGATTATTAAATGATTCTGACCAAAAGAAAAAAAGGTGAGTCCGTGCTAGCAGTGGCCTAGCTAACACTTGACTCGATTCAGGCTCCTCACACCTGGGAAATGTGCTTCTGTGTGTGGTCTGAGGTACAACTCATTCCCTACAACTTCCAGGCTATAAAATGCCATTAAAGTGAGTCATACAGGAAGCATCAGGACACAGCAACACAAATGCATTTGGCCATAAGGAAAATAACTCCCTTTTGTTAAGTTGTAAACTACATTACAAACTTTGTAACTGTTAACCCTGTACACACACACACACACACACACACACACACACACCCTTTATCAGATCTAAGATAACCCCTGTATGATGTAATCCCATTTGACACTAAGAAACCAATTCAATTATGAAACGTTACTTTTAAAATACAGACTGTTTTATAGCTATTAAAATGTGAACACAGCATGGGTGCTTTTAACCAGACAGGGCACAAAACGCACAGGCACACCCTCCCCGGAACATGGAAGCGTTGTCTCACTCAGTGCCTGCTGGAATTCTCACGTACAGATCATCAGATAAAGATGAGAATATGACAACCTATGGCTGGCATGGTGAGGCGAAAACACTACTCTCACATCTCTGGATTCAGTTCATTGCTCCAACTGAGTACACAGAGTCTCAGATGATGAAAACAGAAATACACTTTAACCTAAAGATGTGGGTCAAAGTTGACCCAGAGGCCTCCATCCTCCAGGAAGAAAGATCGATCCTTCCAGAGACTGGAGAGCTGGCTCAATAGTCAAAAGCATCTGCAGAGGACCCAGGTTCAAGCCCCAGTATCTATAGGGCAGCTCACAACCTTAACTTTTTCAGTTCCAGGCAATAGGAGGCCGATTTCTGTCCTCCACAGGCACCAGGTACACAAGAGGTGCACAGGCAAAAGACTCATAAGGTAAAAAATGCACATAAGGTAAAAAAAAAATTTTTTTTCCGAGACAGGGCTTCTCTGTGTAGCCTTGGCTGCCCCGGACTCACTTTGTAGACTAGGCTGGCCTCCAGCTCAATGAGATCCACCTGCCTCTGCCTCCCTAAGTGTGGGAATTACAGTATGGGCACCACACCCGGCTCATTTTTTAAACTCTATAAAACAAGACATCAGTTATAGTTAAATTAGCTTCTATCACTGAATACATTAACAAAGACAAGAATAAAGTTACAAAACGTGTAAAACTACTTACAAATCACTTAATAAAAAGTATCAATAAACAAATTTTCCAAGAAAATGACACCTTAAGATGGAAAAAAATAGCATTAACTTTAGGAAGAAATATAAATGCTCATTAAAATTATTAGAGTCGGAGCTCAGGCTCGGGAGATGGCTCAGTGCATCAAAGTTCTTGCCACGCGAGTGTGAAGACCTTGAGTTCAAATCTTCAGAACCCACATGAAAGCAAGACACAGAACATAGGCATCTGAAATTAAAGCTTCTCCAAGGTGGGAGGCACAGATGAGGGGCTGTCCGGAAAGTCATGGAGTAAACACTGGAACAGCAACAGACACGCTGTCTCAAATGAGGTGGAAACTGAGGCTGTCCTCTGACATCTACGCATAGCCTGACACCAGTAGAGCCATATTCACTCCACACACACACACACACACACACACACACACACACACCTTATAGAGCACAGCTACACACACAAAAGAAGGTTAAGTATAGCTGAAGGAACAAGGTGCCACCTTTAACTACTACATTAAAGACAGCCACACTTAACACTATGGTTTTTCGTGGTTTCATAAACTTTTGGTGAAATACGAGCGGATAAATCATCTTGAAAAACAATCAGTAACAATACTGGCAATCAACAGCAATATTGTCTGACAACACTTTTCGGTAGAGTCCCTGGGAGTTTGCTGATGCTGCGGCCACCCCTCCCCCCAACACACACAAAGGGATAAAAACCTCCAGAACCTCGCTTTTGTGACCAAACTTTACTGTATATTTTCTTCTGCGGAAAGATCGATATCATCATCAGCTTCATTACTTAATTATGAGTAAATACAGCCACTGGGACACAGGCTTTTAGGACCCTTGGAGCTGGAGTCGCAGGTTGTAAGCCTATGCAATGTGGGGTGCTGAGAAATGAATCCGCATCCCCTTGCAAGGGCAGCGACAAGCTCTTAACCGCTGAACCATCTCTCCAGACACAGTAGAAAGGATCTTCGGATAGACCTTGAAGGACGTAATATGGCTGTAAGCAATGAAGCACTGAAGGTCCTCTTTTGAAATTCTGGACTCAGGCAGCTGTGCAATCTTAAACTGCTTCCATTTCTTTAGTAATGAAACAGGGTAAAGGCAGCGTAGGTGTGAGAAAGCAGTGGCCGTGACTGCCAGTGGGAAACCTTACAACTCCGGGATGAGGACGCCGCCCTCCTCTAGGTGCCTGTTCCAGCAAAGGTCCATTCTGCGCACTTCCGGAGTGCAGTCTTATTATCTTTTGCTTGTGGCTTCAAACTTCAGCCTTTATTTACATCGGGATCTCGTACTGTGAAACTATAAAGTGAGATTGAGTTTGAGCCACACTAAAATTCCTAACTGCAAGATGGGCTAAATGTAAATGCCCTGGGAGTTGGGAAAGTGCACCCACTAGCTTACATGCTAACTTCTCTTACAGAATGAACAACCAGAACGCAACAGGTTGTTTTAGACACTTTCCAGGCGGTGTTCTGACTAAAAAACAAACAAAAACGCACAGAGAAGCACGGAGAGCGGGGGGGGCAAAGCAGACATAGACACGAACGACATAGACACCACCTCTTGCGATCGGTGGTGCCAACAGCAGCTTGGACAAACCTAGGTGGGCAGGGGACAGCAACCCTTAAATACGGGAAGCTCCTTTAGTTGAGTGTACTCACCCTAGAGCCCTTACCGAAGAGCTGGGCCCGGCGTCCGGGAACCCCGGGAGCTCACAGGTCTGCCCGTGCAGCGCCAGGGCCGAGGGCCGAGCAGGGAGCCAGCGCGCGCCGCAGCCCCGGTGCAGGAGACTCGAAGGCGGCTCCCGATCCCGCGGCAGCCGGCCCGGCCGGGAGACTGCAGTCACCGAAGGGTCCCTCCAGCAACCCGCTACCCCGACCTCCAGCCCGCGGGCACCGTCCCGGCGCACCCTAACGCGCGAACCCCCCGCCACTCAACGCGCGGCCGCCTCCTCCAATAGGCGCCTCGGCTCGGGGGGCCGGCCCGCTGGGCGGAGCTACGCGGCGGAAGACCCGCCTCCCGCAAGGTCGGTTGAGAGGTCGCCCGCGGTGGTTGCAGCGCGGCTGTTTGAAGAGGGCGCCAGCGGCGGCGGGAAGCTCCTCGGAGCCCCATTGGGGCGGTCGTGAGCCAATCACAGAAGCCTCCCGGAGGGTTTTTACGGTTGCCTGGAAACGGAGGAGCGCTTGCGCTCCCAGCGGTGACCGGGTTAATTTGGCGTCTTCTTGTTTACTGATGAGATTGCCCCTGCTCCCAGGTTCCTCTTCGCTCCGAACTTTAATTTCCGTGGATGTTCTCGGACGTTAGCGTGTCGTGAAGTCCCATCGTGTCCTCGAACTGGGAGTTCACAACCACTTCGGCTAAATCTCACTTCCGCTTTCCGCGTTTCATTTGCCTGTCTAATTAATTGGTTTGTGGAGGGTGTATGTAGCGCCTGGGTTTTGGGACAATTACAGTCTCCCGCTTCTTCAGTAGGAAGGGTTCCAGTGAACACCGAGAACTTGGTGGCATAGGTTCCCACGTGCTTTTCAACCTTTCCCATGCGTACCATGCGGAGTACAATATCTGGCTAACTTTGCTCAGCCACCTGCCCATCCCGTCCTTGTAACGCCTACACGGACGCTCAGCTGCCGAGGGAGGGTTCTGGTGCAGAAGGAGAGCTTGAGCCAGAGAAACAATGAAAGCACGAGGCGGAACAAACAATAGTTCCAGGATCACCTGGGCTGGTTTTTCGCTTCCATTGCTCCAACTCCACCCGTGCTGAGCCCTCCGAACACACACCACTTCACTTAGCAGAACTGGATTTTGCTACCGCTGAACGCAGTGTGAGCACCTGCCACAAAAGCTGGGTGTCTGTTTTGCTACTGTATGTCTTCTTCACCCATAGAACAATATGAACGTCTTGGGGTATTGAGCATTTATCATCATGGTTCATGGCCTGTGCTACACACTCAAAACAGCTGTGTTAACTTGTTAGTGAATTAATGATTTGGGCCCAGAAAACATTAATGAAAAGCATTTGTTGAAGATGAGCTGAGGTATCTGCTAATGAGAATGAGCCTCGGGCAAGCTTCATTACCCAAAAGTCTGGTGTCCCTTGCTCGGGCACACGCTCCAAGAATGGTCAGGGGAATAAAGGGAGTAATTTGCTCTTTGTTGAGATAATACTTTTCCTTCCAGAATTTATCTGCCATGAAGTTCTGCGGTGACATCTTTAAGAATTCTGGAATCTTGGTTTCTTTCAAAAACATAGAAATAGTATAAGAATGGTGTAGGGATGTGGGGCTCCTCTGTCTGCAGCAGCTGACTCTGATTTACCTCCCTAGCAGAGGCACGGTTTTGCAGGTGCAGAGAATTTCTGTGATTGTGTGTCATCTGGAATTCTGGGAACTTTTCAGAGGCTACATAAATTCAAAGCGGGGGGGGGGGGGGGGGAGTCAGTGGTTGTTGGTCATTCAGGGAGGTTGGTTGTGGTTTGCTAGTAGCCTTGGTCAAAGAAGAAACAAAAGGAAAGAAATAGACTCAGGGATTTCCTAATTCCTTTCTCCCCTATAGAGTGTTAGGGTGAAACCAGTAGGGGTGGGGAAAAAAAGAACCCACAAAGTAGCAAAGACTGGCTACAAAGTTCTGTTGAGTCTCCCTGCCTTTGTGAGTCCTGACTCAAACAGGAGTAACTTTCCTTTTTCTGCTCAGCTTTTGCTTTTGGATGCCGGCCAAAGCCCAAGTGTTTTCTCTGGGGCTTTGAGCTTTTTCACTCTTTGTCTAAAGCTCCCCTTCGCCACCATCTGGCTGCTTGTTGGCCTGTACTCTAGCTTAACAGCATGGCTTTTTCTCCTCCTCTAGGCAGCTACAGAGATTCACAACTTGCCTACCCTGAGGCTTTTCTTCAAGCTTCTGTTTGAGTCCACTCTTAAATTACTTTACTAAGAGGACCAAGAGCCCCAAGAGGAGGCTTTCCCTGGTATCACTCGGCTGTGCCCTGGGAAGCGACCTTCAAGACACACCAAAAAAGCTCCATCACTCTACGTTCAAGTTATCTCAGTTGGTGAAGAATCACAGCACATCAGAGACTGGAGTAGAAATCCTCTCTTTTGCATCACCAGGATCAGTTGTGGCCTCAGTACTGACGGCTCCTGTGTGCAGCCATACAGCTCTCCTCCAGAATCAATACCTGCTCTCACCTTCTCCCTTTTACTGGACCCGAGAGCACTGTGTTCTACGTATGGTTTCTCTGTACTTGGCCCATACCTCAAATATCCTTTATTAATCTCCTCAAATTACCCACTTTGAGTGAGCCACCTGTTTCCTGCCAAGACACTGATCCACTACACATGTTAAAATTTCCAAGTCCCAAATACCAGGCATTATCAGTTGTCACAAAGCAATAATCGTTTATTTGTTTAGAAAAGTCATTTACAGATATTTGTGGGCAAATGGACCACCATTTTAAAATAGAGGTTGAGAGTAGAAGATTAAAACAGCATGCAGACATTTCTTGCATCTTCTAGGGGTGTGCGAACGGCGTCCACAGTCTCTGAAAGTGCAGTGTTTGCTTCGCTAGCTGCAACACCACTTCCGTCCAGTGCTGACTACACACCTACACACGTGCTGCCCACCCCATCAGTGCCTGCGCTATCTGCCCTGCCTCTCTGGTGCAGCCTGCCTACACGTTCCTATCATTATGCTGATCGCTGTATGAAGAAAAATGATTACGATCTAAGATATGTGGGCGGGGTCAGTGGAATATACATTATTTTCTAGCCATGGAAAGAAAACAAACCTACCCAAGAAGCCAGTGGCTGAAGAAATAAAAGGATGAGCTGTTACCTAAAAATGCAAGACTTCAATAATGGACTGATGATTTCTACCCAAAATCAACTACCCCATATTGTACTTGAAACTTACCAAATATATCATGATCATAAAGGTTAGGTTGTGTCTACTTAGCCAACATGAAGTGGTATTGAGATAACTATCCAGCAAACTCAGGATTCATAGCCTTTCTCTCTCTCTCCCTCTCTCTCTCTCCAGTGATGGTATATTTTTATATGTAAAAGCAAGACTGAAGCATTTCTGTTATTATTAAAATCAAGCAGATCCACTTGAACCAAAATCACCTGCTTTATTCTGAAACACTTGGGTTCAAACTATGTAGGTGCTGATTTGGTTAAACCCTTTGTATAGAGAGTATAAACACAGAAGAAAGGGGAAGTCCTAAATGTATTCCCCTAACTGCACAGGCTGCTTATCAGTATTAACTTCTCACGGAGGAAAAACTGCAGTGTTAGGATGACAACAGATCTCTAAATGCACCTCTGTGCTCCTTTATCTTATAAACAAGAAAACTGGGGTCCAGACAGGTTTAGTTAGCAACCTGTCAAGAGTCACAGTGATGATTAGTTCAAACCTAGAGCTTCTCCAAGAATTCTTAATTTCACCCCTGGTTTAACGTGGTGTATAACAGGCCTTTCCAAGCCCTTCAACCCATAGAAAGAGGGTGATAGGGCACATATTGAGGTGACACCAGGATTCAGTGGAAGCCAATCAAAAGGAAAGTTTCTTATACTTTAAATTACCTTCTGACACTCAATAGGAATGGAACTAGTGTGGACTGCACATGAAGAACCCCATCTTTTATATCCATATACTCAAAACCAGGAATAACCAAGAGATTTGGCCTCACGTGCTTGTCCAATGCTGCATATGAACAGTTCCGACAGCAAAGACTGAGGAGTGCTGGACAGTAAACTTGGGCCCCAACCTTTTAATCAATAGATGAGACAGACTGATGAAACCATCGGTTGCTTTTGCTTTCGTTCCACAAGCCTGGACATGGTCTGAATTTGATGTCAGTCTCATATTTAACAGGGCAGCAAAAAGTGCTGCTAAACAGAAACTGTAATAAAGTCAAACTGCCGGTCAAGTTGCTGCTTCTAGCTTTTTTGAGCAAGGAAAAACTGTTTTGGCAACTGGTTCTGTAGCTATAGAACACAAAGACACTTGGAATTAATCTCCCCCATATGAAAATGTCCCCAGATGATGAAGTTGAAGGCACATACCACTGCCTGAGCAGTTCAAATTGTCTTTAGCATATGAAATTGTAGTTGTGCTTTTAGTTTTTAATCGATGCAATGTGACCTTTAAAAAGTGACTCCCGTGCGTATGGAATACTCCTTTTCAAATGGACCAAAGTTCTTCTGCTCCGGTTTTCATATTCAGAAGATATTTTATTAGTCCTCTGTTTAATAAAAGCTGTGGTCCATGGGTCCTAAGAAAGACATGTTTCACAGTTTGTGTTCTTTTATTTAATCTGGAGAAAAGGTTGGAATTGTCACTGTTCCTGACATGGGAAGGATATTCTTCTGATAGTACTGCCACAGTGTCCGGAGTTGTCATTTCTTGGAATGCAAAAGTCCTGTGTTATCTTTTCTTACTGGTTGTTTAAGGCTTACTTCACTTCCAGAAGAGATGATTGGCAAACTGTTATCCATGTGGTATTTGATAAGGTGGCCCACATTATCAAATACGTGGTCCTTGGTTCTCACCTGGAAAAGGAAGCACAAATATACTTAGGCTGAATATTAGCACTTCTGAAAGGGGTCAACAATGGTGGGAGAGCATCCCTAAAGTAGATCTTTTGCTGAGTGAAGGAAAGGTGATTTTCAGTTCTATCTTCCTTAATACATAATTTTATCATTTCCCAGTGCCCTTTTACAGTAGCATTCCTACAAGCTCAGGAAATGGCAGGCACTCGTCATTCAGTCCAGATCTGCAATCCACTTCTCTTCAAGGCTTTTGCTTGATGGTGTCTATCACATCAGCACTTCTATAACTATCTAGCTAATTCGTGTGCGGGCGCCGTCCTGGGATGGCAGTTATCTTCCAAATTACCTCATCTCTGCCTAAGGCAGGCCCCTTGGAGAAAGCCCACCTCTCCCGAGAGCCTCAACACAAAGCCTGTCTCCTCCTCCTCCCTCTCAGGCATTCATGCCGCCTTCCAGCAAGCTTCATAAACAGCAGCTGATGCATACATGTCCGTTGCATACTATTCACTATCTGCCTGCTGAAGGAAATAAACTTGTAGAATTTCCTCCTAGCATTAGCATGCACCTATCCTCTGCATGCTTTACTGTCTATTGGGCTCCACTGGCTTGGTCGCCTCCTGTGTGGAGGACAGTGCAACCTCCAAGAGAGAGAAGGCCTGCAGCCAGCAAGCACCTACCTGATAATTGTGCTACCGGCTTGCAGGGGATTCTGAGCTCTGCCTGCATATTGGCTTCAGCATAACTGGCAGAATTTGAATATGGACTATAAATTAGGTAATGATACCTATAATTGAATTTCCTGACTTCGATTTTTATACTAGATCTATAAAAAAGCGTCCTCAGTTTTGTAAGCACACAAGACAAAGAAAAGGCGGCCGTGGCTTTAGCGTATCCTCTAATGTCTTCCGATCTTAATGAAGTTTTTCTCTCTTCCTGTCCAGGTTAGCTGACCAAGCCTTCATTCTTAATTCCAACTCATTCTGTCTCCTCTCCCTCATGTCTCTGCAGCTGACATTCTGGTCCAGGGTTCCACACCTCCCACCGTGAGGCACCCAGTTGCTGTCTCTCGGCCCCATAGCCTCCACTGTGCCTTCTCTAGGCAATCCTGCAGAGAGATGTTAGGGTAACCTTCCTACTGCAGACACCACATGTTAGCATTTGGACCCTTCCACCAGATGTCATTAAACCAGAATCTGTAAGGCAGTCTAAGCTAAAAATGAAGAGAGTGTACATAAAACTCTATTTGTTGGCTTCTTTGGAAAAATAAGTCTGGCCCTTCTGGGCCCCTAGCCTGCATGGCAGCAGTTGGGTAGAGCTGAGTGGTGACTATTTTGTCAGTTCAACAGAGAGACAAACCAGCCTCTGTTGATTCTACTACCTACCCCTTCTGCTTCCTTATAAACTGGTCAGGCCCTGCTGACATTTGCTTTTACAGCACCACCCACAAAAGCTTTTAAGAATTGTGTAAGATCCGGGGTGAGTTCAAGGCCAGCCTGGTCTACAAAGCAAATCCAGGACAGTCAATGCTACACAGAGAAACCCTGTCTCAAATAAATAAAATAAAATAATAAAATAAAAAATAAATAAAAGGACTGTGTGGTTTTTAAAAATCCATTACATGAGGCTTGAAGTATCTAGCCCAATACTGTCAACTCCAACTTTCTCCAACTGAAACTATGCTACTTTCAGAACCCTGACTCCCCATTGTCCCAGACATTGGCAGCCACCATACTACTTAGCCTTTTAGGATTCTGGCTTCTTAAGAAACCTCAGCTAAGTCAAATCATGTGACATTTGTCCAGGGATTGGCTGGGTTTTGCTTAACAAAATCCTCCCAACATTCATGAGAACACGACAGCATGTGACATGCTTGTCTTTCACACGGCTGAACAGTATTCCTTTGTATGTCTTCTTTCTCTTCTCATGCACAATCTGAAATTATTTCCACTTCCTGGCCATTGGACTATCACTGCTGGGAACACAAGTGCAAGTTTCCTAAAGATGATGATTTCTGTTCTTTTAGACTACTGTCCAGAGTGCGGTTGCTACTTTTCACAGAAATTTTCAAACTGTTTGCTGTTTTTTAGTCTTGCATAATAACCAGCTAAATAGATTTGAGGTGAAAACTCACGTCGGCTTTGGTCCACGTTTCTTATTGACTAGAAATGTTAGACATCTCTTCACATCTATGTGCCGTCTTCTCTGGAGAAAGGACTCGTCTTGGAAAAAATGTTTTGTTTTGCTTTGTTTTCTAAATTGCACAATTTCCGTACGTGTTTTGAATATTAACTATCAAACTCATCGTTTGCAAATGTTTACCTCAGTCTGTGGGCTGACCATAAACTTTGCAGTGCAAGAGCTTTTAGCTTAATGCAGGCCCGCTTCTCTGTGTTTGCTTTTTGAGGCTTGTGTTCTGGCAATCTTACCTAACAAATGTTCAATAAGACCATTGTTATGGAAGTACTCTCCTACGCCTTCTCCTGGAAGTGTTGTACTTTTCCATCTTACAATCAAGTCTTTGACCCATTTGAGCTCACTTTTACTAATGGTGTAAGAATCCAGTTTCATCCTCCACATCGTGTACCTGTTTCCCATCAGCATTTGGAGGGCATCTCTTCTCCAGTGCTTGCTTTAAGAAGACTTAGTGCTGGGAGGGAATGAGGGATCGGGACACGGCTGGGATACAGAGTTAATAAAATGTAACTGATAAGAAAAAAATAAAATTCAAAAAAAAAAAAAAGAAGACTTAGTGATCTTGAAGACCACTTGACGGCACGTGTGACCTTTTGCCTGGGCTTATCATACTGTTCCATCAGTCTAGACTTCTAACTTTATGTCAACACTACTGTTTTGATTAACATTGATCTGTAATGTGTTTGGGGGTCTTCAGCTTTATTAGTCTTCAAAAAAAATGTTTTGGTTATTCAGATTTTTGTATTAGTTGACCGTGAATTTTAGGATTTTCTGGGTCTATAAAATGCCATCCGGAGTTTTATGAAAATGTTGATTATGGATGTGGATTCCGTTGGGTGGTGTGGACATTTTAATAATGCCCACTCTTTTAGCCCACAAAGGAGAAGTCTTTTCACTAATTGTGTCCTCTTTAGCTTCGTTCATAGATATTTTATAGTTCTCACTGCATAAGTATTTCTTCTTGGTTGAGTTTATTCTTAAGTATTTTTTTTATTTTTTCCATTGGTGCCATCATAAATGTGACTGTTTTCTTATTTCCTTTTAAATAGTTTTCATTTGTGTATAGAAATGGAACTAATTTTGCATTAAAAAATTCACTGTCAGCTATAAACTCTTCCTATGTAGCATTTACTGTGTTCTTTCTATTACTATTTTTGTAATTTTATTACTACTAATTTCTTCCTGCTTTCTTAGTCTTTAAGTGTTTCCATCATTAAAAGGGGCGGAGTTCTGTCTATAAAAGGTGTGGACACCTGCCCATTTCTTCTAGTTTATTCAGTTTGTTGGCATTTGGCTGCGTATAGAAATCTTTTATGTCGGGTGGGGATGGCAGCAGCACACACCTTGAATCCTAGCACTCAGGAGGCAGAGGCAGTTGGATCTCTGTGAGTTCAAGGCAGCCTGGTCTACAGAGCCCAAGACAGCCAGGGCTACAGAGAGAAACTCTGGCTCAAAACACAACAAAACAAAACAAACTTGTATAATATTAGTTACATGATGCCCATTATAGTACATTTCCTATTTCATTTATGTCTTAACCAAAAGTTTGTTTGTTTTTTAATGTTCTCCCAACCTTTTTTATGCTTGAAAAAGCTGCAATTCTTACTATCACACACATCCACACACACATCATGCTCTATTCTTTCTGTCATTTAAGTCTGCTTTGCTGTAATTTGGCTGTGGTCGTATTCATCCGTAGGAGTCTACTGTGACTACAGGTTTGTCCTACTGACCTGAACTGAGAAGGGGCAAAAGAGGCTGTCCTCTGTGCCATGCTCTAGGATGGCTTCCAGTCCTAACCACACCACTAGTTCTGGCTGTATGGTTTAAGAAAACATCAACACTTAGCCTTGACCTCTACTGAATACTGTCTGTGGTTTCGACATGTGAAGTACATGAGAGCTCAGTCATACCTTGCCTTCAGGATCCACCAAAAGAAGATGTTTGGCCTGGCCACCTTGCAGTCCGCTCAGTACATACTGGCCAGGAGATGTTATGCTCTCTCGAACCAAAAAGTCCCCGTCCTTCACCAGCAGTTTCTCTGCCGCCCCCCTGCTCAGCCGGCCGTGGAAGCATTCTTCATTCCACAGCTGCTGCTTAATGTGTGGTAAAGAGTGTGAGCTCACAGGCTGAGTGGTGGCTCCCGGCTGCACAGTTTCTGGTACCTCTGAAGTCAAAACACAAAAGAGGTATCACCAAGTCATCCCCTCACCCATCCATTTGTCCTTCCTCCTGTGTATAAGGAGCTGTTTAAACAATACCATGGACCAAATATCATGGCGGGCTCAAACTTAGACATGAATTTAAACATTGTTTTTTAGTTTCTGTCACTAGGAGAGGTCATCCGGCTTAAGAGTTTCTTCTTCAGGGGGAAGTAGAATCGGCCCATGAGAACTGCTTCTGTAACTGTGGAAAGGGGCTCTTCTTTCCAGGGGCCTCATGTTAAAAAGGGAAAAGTCTGAACCTGAATCACAGATAACTTCTACAGTGCTTCTAACCTCTTTTTTTTTTTTTTTAACTTTTTATTGATTCTTTCTGGATTTCACATCGTGCACCCCAGTCCCACTCATCTTCCCGTCCCTTCCTATTCACCCTCCGCTACCACAAAAAAAAAAGCAAAAAAAAAAAAAAAAAAAATATATATATATATATATACACACACACACACACACACACATATATATATAATTTTAAGAAGAAACAAACAAAATATGTCACACAGCATAAGCCTTTACTTGCACATGTTCATTGCAGTAAGTCATTGGTCTGGTTCAAGGCCTCTGGCTACACTATCAATACTGGATCCTCATGGGGACTTTTTCTAAACTCTTTTAAAAGCCACAACCAAAATTTTGACTTATCCTCACTTGTTTTTTAACATTTAGCTTCTATCACTTTTACTTTTACACTAGTTTATAAAATGCTAAATCTATGAATTTAGCTCACCTAAATTTTTCATCCTTCTTAGCAAACTCTTTAGCCCAGCACTGCTACAGAACGGCCCTGCCGAGGTCAGTACCATTCACCTGTCTGAACCACAGAAGGGATGAGAGCGAAGAAAGCGCAGTATTAGGAGAGCTCCACCTATGGCAACTTCCCAGCGTCCTGAAGAAAGCTTAGTCCCAGACTGGGAGCACCGAGAGTGAGACCATTGGGTGTGTCAGTGAGCACAGCGCCATCGTAGCTCTTCGCGGTAAGAATTATTGTATCATTCTTGTTTATAACAACAGGCAATTGTTAAGGCCTTTACACGACTCATGCTATTTTCATAATTAGGTCCCCAAACTGGATTCTGAAAAAGACTGAGCTACTTATCCAAAGCCACACTGTTAAGGCTGTAGATCTGGGATTTGAAACAAGGACTCCAACGCTTGGGCTCTTTAGTCAACAAACTCCGAGGCACTGGATGTAAAACTCCATTTCCATTTGCCAAATCTGACTGGCTTCCCTAGCTCTGTAGTGCCCACAAAGGTCCCTAGGAGACAGCAACACTGTCAGGACAATGTATAGCATCTCCTAGACATAGCACTCCTATAACCCCAACACTTAGGAGGCTGAAGCAGGAGGATTGCTGAGTATTAAGTCTAGCCTGGGCAAACCTATACAGCTCAATGAGACTTTGCCTCAAAGCAAAAGAAAAAAAAAAAGGCTCACAGGTTAAGAGCATTGACTGTTCTTGCAGAGGCTCCTGGATTCAGTCCAATGGCCTGCAAGCTGGCTCATAACTAGAGCTGTAACTCTAGCTCTAAGGGACCTGGCTCCCTCTTCTGGCCACCACGGGCACCAGCTGCATGTGGTGTACCTACACACAGGCAAAATACTTATGTACAAAGTTAAGATGAATAAATCTTTTTTTAAAATCCACCAGAAATAGTTAACTATATCAATTTTGTGACTGAACTTTGTTAAAAAGCCATATGTTTAATGGTAAATTGACAAAGAAAACAACCATAGAAACCAGCATTGTGTTTTGAAACACGAAGGATCTTTGCATGGAAACCACTCTTCATTTCTGTAACACAACGCACTTACAGGCCGTTGGGCAAAGGCCTCATCAAGAGCACCAGGCTCAAACTGTGCAACCTGCATTCCACCATGCTGTGAGGTGTAGGCAACCTGCAGTGCCCTATGAATAGCCCAACTTCCCTGTCAGCGTGTTGGAGCCCCGCCCTACTTAAGCACATCTATTTGACATAAGAACGTCATGAAACAGTTACAGCTAGCACCACAAACGTATCTTGTAAAACATCTTCAGCCTAAAGCTGGAAAGAATGTTCCCCCACAAATCAACTTCCAATTGCTGCCAGAAAAGGCCTGAGGAAATGTGTCCAGACACTGACTAATACTTGCAGTTGGCCTTGGCGCTGCCTGTTCCTGGACACAGTGGAAAACTTGTAATGAGCAGTCCCGTGTGTGTTTGCATCAGGGACAGGCTCTGCGTGAGTGTGAGGCCGTGCATGCAGGCATGCATCGTGAAGGTGCAGGCAGCTCAGTGTGGCGTGCACTTTTGGTTTGCCCTGAAATTATGGATGGCTTCTGGACAAGGACAAAACAGAAGAAAAACAGACATTATATCATCTTGAAGAGTCAACAGCTCGTGGGCCAGCCCTGGGATTGCAAACAGAGTTTCTAACATAGCTTCCCAGATTAGGACAAGGACAAGGCACGGCGTGCTGAGCGATTTCAAATGTTTCCTTAGCATCAAATTCTGTTAGAAGAAAAAAAAAATGTGATGGGTTTTCCAATTCGTTTTAACTTTAAAACTTATGCTAACCTGGGAAACAATAAAACAGAGAAAGAAAGAGTCCACTCTGGCTCATCACTGACTATGGCGGCTCAGAGCTGCGGCATAGTAACCTTCCCTCTGAGGCGACTGACGCTAACAGGGGAGACTGTGTGCTTATGATGGGCTCATCTCTGAGACGGAGATGGGTGGGCAGGTGCAGGGGGGAGAGCTCATTTTCCAGAGAAGCAGAGCCGGGCAGAGGGCTAAGTAGGAGGTACTCAGTGACTCACCAGCATTTGGAAAGTAATCACAGGAAACTGTTGATCTCTAGAGTGTCGGGTACACGATTAGGGCTTGGAAGGAGTTGATTTCTCCCTCACCCCATTCTTTATTACCTGTATGCTGTGAGCATCTACATTACTTCTGAGTTTTAGAAATGTTCTCCAGAATAAAATGCACATAAAAATCGAGACAGTCCCATGATTAAGGATACATCAGGAAGGTGCAAACTTTAAGGAGACTATCAAATTTGAGGGGAAATTTCCATTGTCTAAAGCTACTGTACTGTCCCCTCAACACACGACCTCGTGTCCTGTTGCAGGGGACTGAGAGCGGGGTCAGGCCTGGCTATCTGTATGCTTTAGAAAGTTGCTGTAGACGCTGAATTGGTGAAAATGAACCTTCACTCCTACAGGAAACATGGGGTCTCCTTTCCAACAAGCCTCAGGCCTCAACAGTCTCTTCAGCTAGCACACAGACTTATTTTGTGTGGGTTTTGGATTAAAAATATGGGGTGTAGCATATTTTGTTGACTCTGAAATCATAGCCAACAGCACTATAATTCATACTTGATTGATGTTTTTATAACCCTGTCTTCTCTCATGAGGGCACTTCACCATTTCCTTTCACTTAGAAACACTACACAGCACTTTTTTTGACTACACTTGGGGACCATTTTAAAACAGCAAAACCATTAAAAAAAAAAAGCACAAAAATGTGGGGAGAAGTGGTACTAAATGTACCACAAAAGGACACTTGAAGCTTCTGTTTGGTTGCTCTTCATTTTGTGAGACAATTTGACTATGTAACCAGCTATCCCCAAACTCATTACACAGCCCAGTGTGGTCTCGAACTCTTGGGAGGCCTCCCAAATATTGGCACTATAGATATGCGTCACTACACTTGTTTTAAACAAGTGCTTAGAACGTGAAAAGCAAAATGAGGTAGAGCTTTCCCTTGCTGTCGCCAGCCTGGACTGTGTATGTCAGAAGGCCGACAGTTGGTGGCTCCATGCAGGTCTGCAAACCACCCTGAGCATGGATTTGAGGGGGACGGCCAAAGTTTGCTAAGTAGCTAAGCATGCTACTTCTTAATTGTGAAACCTGGAAATACTGACACCTGACAGATTACATAATAGGTATTTTGCTTGTATTGCTGAATGTAAAAATACACCTCAACAAAGCACCTGAAAATCTGTTAGAAAATTCTGACCAAAGAAAAATTAAGTATAGATGAGAGGTTAAGATAGTACCCCAAGACTAGGCATGGTCACACACCTTCAATCCCAGCACTCAGGAGGCAGAGGCAGATGAATCTATGAATATAAGGCCAGCCTGGTCTACAGAGCCGGGTCCTGTTTATAATAATAATGATAATAATAATACCAAGAAAAAGTATTTGCAATATAAGGAAAGAATTATGTGCTCTTTCAGAAAATTACAAAGGCTTGTCAATTTAGTATATGGTAATAAGTACATTAGCATAGAACAGAAAACTGGCCCAATAGAGAAGGTGTAATAAGGAGCCTAGAAATCACAGCAAATACAGGAGCTGAGTATAACAGGGTGGCAGAAGGGGAAGCAGAAGGTATTGAATCAACAGAGGCTGGAAAGCTGTTTCACATGAAATAAAGCTAGATTCACTATCTCATATAAAGTATAAAGGGCCAAGAGGTAATAAAATCATAAGGCCTGTAGAAGAAAACACAGCAGAAGCCAAACAAAAAGACAAACCGATCAAGAGGAGGTATGCTGGAAACAGTAGAGATAAGAATGGAAATTAATCACATAGAAAAGAAAACAAACAGAAAACCAGATGCTTTAGCAAGATCAATAAAAAAAAAAATCAAAAAACCTAACAAAGGCATATTTGAATAATAGAAAGCAGCCCAAGAGACATTACCAGAGTTCCATGGGACGATAAAGTAATAACAAAGGTCTATTTTGTACCAAGTTTCTGGAGAAAGTACATTGCCAAGAAATGTACATGCCTCTGTGTTATGTTTTGGCCCCTGAAACAAATTTCAAACCCTCATGCCCATGGCAATGTGAAACAGGCTGAAAAGAGGCTAAGACTCCAGAGAGGCACACCCTGAGTCCCTGGTCTAGGTGAACACATGGAGGATGGTGGCAGGAAGAAGCCAGGAGGCCCAGCACAGCACACAGACAAAAATGGACCAGAACCATCTCACAAAGGTGAGACGGGACTGAAGAAAGCGGTGTCATGTCTGGCTAAGGAAGTCTTCAGAGGTCCTACCCATTAGGACTCCAGTGGCTGCTGTCCCTTTGTGATTGTGGCTTTTCCATGAGGTTGTATTCCTATGCCACCATCGGGTTTGAATGCAGAGAAAGAAGGCAGTTTGGCAGGTGATAAGGACAGCCAGCCACTGAATGTTCTGTGCCTTGTTGTATAGGGCACCACTAGGATGTTTGAGAGGTAGAGAGGTACATAGCAGAGACAGAGGCATGAACTGGTAGTTGTCCATAGGTCACATCCCCCTGCCGCCACACTACTGGACCCCTACGCTAGGCACCAGAATACAGTAACTTTTAGCTTCTCTTACAGGGAGGTGGCCACGTGTCTGGGTTCTGCAGCAGTGAGTGAAGAAATGAATAATGTCTTCCAGTGAAAACAAATGATGTCTGCCACTTTGGGTCAAACCCTTTAGAGGGATGTTCATGCACCACCCTTGCCTTTCCTCTCACTAGCTGAGTAGAGACGAGGGCCCAGGCAGGCACCTGGAACCAGATGTGGAAGACAGATGTCAGGAGCAACAATTCTGTGACAGACAAGTAGGTTAGGAGTAAATAAGCCGGGTCTGCCTTATGCCTTATCCGGGAGCTTCCTTTGTTATGGAAGCTTATACTGACTATAGCAGAGCTAGAGAGCCCCCTCTGCTGCAAGAACAATAAGGCTTCCTCAAATGCCTCCTGTTGGCAGCTCGGAGCAATGGACCCAGAAGCCCTGCCAGTCAGAACTCTGGGTATGTGTGGGGGTGGGTGGGTAGGTGGGTGTCTTTATTCTGAGCAGATCAGTACCCTTATCTGGATAAGGCTAAGTCTGCATAAAAGAGGCTAAAAGGACCTTTAAAGAAAAAGGAAACAGGGGGAACAATTACAGAGAAGACGTTGAAGGTATATTTAAGGCATTTTATAGAGAAAATAAGTAGAAAAAAAAAATGACCACTGCTCTGTCTCATCATAAGATCTTCTTAAACCAACATTTTTTAAAAATGCATTTGGACTAGGATCGATTTTTTTTGAGGGAAGAACAGCAATCTAATGCTAACCTCAAGGGGTCCCCCGAAAGCCCAGGAGGCTATGCACATTAAGTCCTAGTAGGAAGTAAAGGCTGGGAGAGCAGGAGGAGCTTACTCCAAGGACTTACTGCAACCATCTCAAATGAATAGCCCATCACTGTCTCAACATTCCCTCTCTGATGGACAGAAGTGCACTTTCTTCAAGGAAGACCCAAACTCCCCTCCCCCTTCACTTTCCCCCCTAGACCAGCAGTCAGGGTCCAGATGACTAGCCCTTCAGGGCTTGCCCTGCCTCAGTTGGCCGACATCCAGACAGATTCTCGGGGCTAGACAAGCCCGTCCACCCGGGGGCTGTGTAGGACAATGCTGGCAGAACACACAGGCTCTGTGGAGCTGGCCAAAGCCCTCACAGTCTTGTAGTGTGTCCCACTGTCCCCTCAGCACAGTCACAGTCTCCTGCTTTGCATCCGGATCCTCAGTGGTGCCCACAAAGAGCGGACATGTCAACCTTCTTCCAGGGAACAGGCCTGGTCGGAGGGAGTGTGAAGAGTGGTCTCACTTTCTTCTACCACAAGACAGACCACCTGTCACACGGCTGACGGCGAGGGCTCACTTCATCTAGAGTTAAGGTTCTGCTGAAGGCCGGGCCCAACAAACTGGCCTTTGAAAACACTCAGCTCTCAGCTGCCCTAGCTGAAAAGCCGATTTTGGCAGCTCTACAGAACCTCCTGGGCAGTGACAGGGCCTCTTGGGGGCAGCCTCTCCAGCTTTGGAGCAAGCCAAGGCTGATATCACACCAACCTCTGAGCACAGTATTTTGTGAAAAACATTGTTGTTTATTTATTTATTTTTTTAATGATTCTAGGCTTTGGGCCTCTCAGTTCTGCTCAGTAGGACAAACCTGTAGTCACAGTGGGCTCCTACAGATGAATACAACCATAGCCAAATTACAGCAAAGTAGAGTTAAATGACAAAGAATAGAATATGGTGTGTGTGTGTGTGTGTGTGTGTGTGTGTGTGTGTGTGTGATACTAAGAATTGCAGCTTTTTAAGCATAAAAAAAGTGGACAAATTTTTAGCTAAGATAAAAAAATAAAATAGGAAGTGCACTGTAATAGGTATCATGTAACTAATATTATAAAAATGTGTTCTGTTTTGTTTGTTTGGTTGGTTTTTCTTTTTGGGGACAGAAGTTTCTCTGTGTAGCCTTTTGTTTATCTGTGCTCCTACTAATGAATTCACCACCTGAAGCAAATTGGCAAAAACAAAATTAAAAAAAAAAAAAACTAAACAAAGCAAACGATTGCTCAAGTCATTGTATTTGACCTGCAAAAGACTGGAGGACAGAGCATCTCATTCCGTGCTGAATTGATGTCTTATCAAGGAGTTTGAGGTGATAGAGTTAGCCACACCACTAAGCAGGACAGAAATAATGGCCATTGTTTCTCTTGCAAAGAAACAAATACAGGATTATCACCTGGCTTTGAGAGTTCTTCCTTGATCAAAAACACACATCAGAGACTCAAAAGAAATGGAGGCAAATTCAGTGTTTAAAGAGTTATTTAAACACTTTGTGCTAAATCTTTGATCCGCAAAGATCTGATTCATCCTTAACTACAGTGAAGGACTGAGGTCAAGAAATAATAAAGGCACTTGCCTCCAGCCTCACCCCCAAGGATAATCCCCACGCCCAGGCGGCCGGTAGAGAACCTGCTCCTGCAGATTATCCTGAATGCCTTTGTATGTGTTTACACATGTGTGTGAACACGCAAAAATAAGCAAATAAATGTGATACCCCAACCAAACAAGACAACAAAAAGGTTTTTTAAGAAATCTTTTTAACTCCCTAAAGATGAAGCCAAACATTTTTTTTTTAAGTGAGAGACAGTGCCTATCCATAGTGGTCCCTCAGAAGATATATTCAAGTCTTAATCACCTGTCTCTTTTGGCAAAAGGATTTATACAACCACCTCAGAGAGGCAGTTGTCCAAAATGTCCAGCCACAGGAGGTAAAGGGTGTGAGACAGACACAGTGATTGGAGTGCCTGTAAGCCAAGCGTTGTTGACATGTGACCTTCATAAGCTGAAGAATCAGATGTCAAGCGAATGGTGATTGGTGGTGAGTGGTTGCCACGGCCCCGGGGAACCAATACAGACAGTGGGAAGGCACTTACTTCTAAGGTGCCACGGGTTCCCTTGTGGCTGAGCGGGGCTTTGCTTCCCACCATGGCCAAGGGTACCCTGAAGAGCCTGTGTGTTGACGTAGCAGGGGTCATCAAAGAGATCCACTCTGCTGGAGTGCTTCCTCCACGCGCCATCACTTTGCATCTCTCCTTCATGGGGCGTACCTGGAGTGGTTAGCAGTGAGCAGTGCATTACATTTTTGCCATGTAAATAAATCATTCCTGAGTTGAAGAACGCATGCCCACCCCAAACAAGGACTGACTGCTGACACCACTGACAAAAGCAGACAGGAGAGTTAAGCAGGAGGGCCCTAAAGAAATGGCCAGTGAAAGGAAGGCCCTGCTGAGCAAACAGAGCAAACACTAGCTCAGGGTGAGAGTCTCGGAGAGAAAAAAAAATTATATATATATATATATATATATATATATATATATATATATATATATCCTGCTGAACTTGAACACCTGTCACTAACCCCCTCTTAAGGGCCTGTTACATGATACAAAGTCTTAGCTTTCTTTTCACTAAACTAAAAAAAAAAAAGTAAATTGATGAATGAATTAAGTATAGTTCTTTTTTTAATTTATTTATATGTACATTTGGTGTTTGGTATACACATATGTCTGTGTGATAGACTCAGATCCACTGGAATTTGAGTTAAAGACCAGATAGTTGTAAGCTGACATGTGGGTGCTGGGAGTTGAACCTGGGTCCCTTGGAAGAGCAGACAGTGCTCTTAACCACTGAGCCATCTCTCCATCCCTCAAGTATTGTTCTTAGGACAGAAAATCTGGCTCTTTTCTCCTCTCAAAGTATTTTTTGGCCTCTACCCTCACATTAGTTCCTTGCCTCTCCAACTCAGTTTACACACTGTGGCCAAATACTCTTTTAAGACTGAAAATGCAGTCATATTTCTTACAGATTTAAAAACTTCCTACTTGCTTCCCATGCTCTGCTGGGCCATGGGCCCCTCTCTATCGAGCTCGCACAGTCCGTGCCAGGGGTCACACTGGCCTCCTGCAGTGTGATCTCCATTTAAACCTCAGCTGTAAATTCCAACCTCTCTCTCTTCAGCAGAGCTGTCCTCTCTCTCCCCTCAAGCCCTGAAAGCTCTCTGCTTTTCTGGAGGCTGCTGCTTAAGCTCCGAAGGCCAATCTGTGAGAGCAATTCATTCTCTTGCTTCTGTTACTTGTTTAAGGCCTGTTCTACATCTAGGCTGCACATTCCGTAAAAGCAAGGGTAATGCCCGCCTTGCTTTATAAGTCTCAGCTGTGCGTGCTCCGGGAGCACCATGAGGTTGTACCCAAAGCAGTGACGTTCCCACGCACCCAGAGCCGTGCCTCTTGGCTGCCTTACTGTGCAGCAGCATTCCTTCCTCTTTGCTCTAGTCACGCAAACCCTTTGACGTGGCCCAAACAGGACGAGCCCACCCCAGATTTCACACGAGGGTGAAGAGGGAGGCGCAGCGGACGACTACACTCGCAACACCTGCTCCTGGCGCCATTCGCGTCTGTTTGCCGCGTGCTGCCTCTCACCCAGCGTTGTATTTGTGCATTTTGTGACATATGGTTGCTTGTTGGTCATGTGGAGTTATGGGCTGGGGCACCTGCTTTAAACTCACCTCCTCACATCAAAGCCGTCTAAAGGGTCATCACAAGGGGATCACGGCCTGCACAGTGCTTCTAAGCAACCTTATGGGCACAGAGGCAATAGCGACCTAATTAGATAAGACTTTCTTCCCCAAATCCTAACTCTTCCCAGACTCAACTTCGTCAAGCTCTGAAATGTACATGTACATTGATCGACTTTAACCACTAAATGCCATGAGAGGCCTCAATAAACACCACTGAGGGAATTGCTGAGTAAGAGACAGAACAAGTCGACTTCGGAACATACTGTGGATATTACAGCGCAGACAGGACCCAACCCGATTGTTGGGAATTCCCAGGCTGAGGGAGGAGAGGAAGGGGTTACAGTTCTAAGAGAGCATCATCCCGCAGGCTTTTGCACTCAGCGTTAATTTCATGTTCAGCCCTGTAACTAAGAATTAGTTTCGAGTTTTACATTTTATCTCAGCCAAAAGTCTGAGAAGTAATCAACTTAGGATTTTAGTTGACTGTAAAGAAGTTCATGAAAAAAAAATTTTTGAGACACAGTCTTACTATGTAGTCATGGCTGGCTCAAAACTCACTATGAAGCCCAGGCTGGCCTTGAACTCATAGAGCTCTGCCTGCCTCTGCCTCTGGAGTGCTGAAATTGTGGGCAAGTGCCACTACGGAATTTTAATTTTTATCAAGAGAAAGTATGCTTTTAAGTGTTTTAAATGCTGTCTTAGCTCAAAGACCTTTTCCGACAGCATGTAGAAGGGTGATTAATTGGAGATTAATGTGTCCTCATGTTGTATAAAATAAACTCAGTGGACCACCCTGGCAAAAATAGATATGGAAGGTGACAAAATGGCATGCTGAGTCCTTAAAAGTGGATTCCAATCCCTTCCCCACCCAACCCTGCAAGACTTACCTTCCTAAAAACAAACAGCAGCAAAATTAAATAGTCCTGCCAGTTAGGAAGAATGAAGCCACTGGCTGGGGGCATAACTACTTTTATAAACATATTTCTAATATGACAGTTGAGGCCTTGTGTTTGTGTGGCCTCCACCCCACGTGAGCCCAGAGCTCCCAGGCAAGGTGAATAGTGGGAGCTATTTGGTGAACTCACATCTCAGTTATCTCTCCTGTCCCCTTTGCCCAACTACAGCACACATTATGTTTTAGCCACGGTGGAGTCGGCACCCACGTCCACACTAAACCATCGCCTAGTCTTTGGGGCGGAACTTCCTTTTGCTTTGCACAAAAGACATCCCTTTCCAATGACAGTTTTCCTGACCCCAGAGGCACAGCCACCACCTGAGAGCAAGGGAGAAATGTCAGGCTGCTAAGCAACACACACCCGCAAACCAGCTTCTCCGAGAAGCGTGCAGCCCAAAGGCTCAGCGCTCAGTTCCATGCCTGCCATTTAAGAACAGGAACCAACACGCTCGTATGGCTTGAAAAGCGTTGGGATGGCAGCTGGGAAGGCATTGTACCTACCTATTGGCCCGCTCTGTCCCACACAGTTCTCATACACACCGATGCACTTACAGTTCCCAGGCTGTACAAACGACAGATTGCAGGATGTTTATGTACACATATCATAAACAAGATGATCGTTTCCAAGAAAACATAGCGGGCAACTTCACTTTCTGACACAGGCGATGTCTACAGGTTGGGAACAGAATCTGGGTGGGAAAGTATAGTACCTGATGGTCTAGCTTTTGGATTTAGTTGCAAAAGTGGATCTGAAGGTTGGGGGTGTCAAAAGGACTTCTGCTCCAGAAGTCACATTTCAGCACTCAAAGTCTCAGCTAGAAAGTGATGTTTAATAATTGTGTGTGTGTGTTTGTGAATGTGTGTGTGTGTGTGTGTGTGTGTTCATATAAGTACAGAAGTCAGAGGTCAATATTAGGTGTCATTCTTCAGGAGCCATCCCCCTGATTCTTTCAGATACAGTCTCTCACTGAGACAGGCCGAGCTGGGTGGTTGGGGAGCCCCAGGTCGCAGTCTCTGGCCCCTTCTGCAGCACTGGGGCCTAAGCACATGTCACCTCACCCAACTTGTTTTTACTGTGGGCGTGAGGGACTAAACTCGGGTCCTCATGCTTCCGTGGTGAACACTTCACAAACCAGGCCGGCCCAATCGCTACCTAATTTTGAGATGACAAACCAGAACCCTCCTCTACCGAGGTGTGTGCTAGGCGCACTTGTCATTCTTGAAAACCTCAGCCAAGTGGAGGGCTCCAGCCATCCTCATCTTTCCGTGTTCTTCAGCCACTGAATGAAGATGAGCTGATGTGCTGGAGAAGTACAGCATGCGTGCGTGCGTTAGAAAGAGTTATTGGGGGCTGGAGAGACGATGGATCAATGGATAAAGCATTCGCTGGCCAGGTGTGAAGGTTGGAGTTTGGATCTCCAGAGTCCATGCAAAGAATTCTGTAATCCCAGCGCATGTGTGTGGGCGACATGGGCGGCAGAGATGTGTAAATGCCCGGAAGCTCCCAGAACAGCTAGCGTGTGTGTGTGTGTGTGTGTGTGTGTGTGTGTGTGTGTGTGTGTGAAAGAGAGAGAGAGAGACAGAGAAAGAGAGACAGAGAAAGAGAGACACCACACATACACACATACTACACACATCTTTAAAAATTAAATGATTACACTTGTCTGGCCACAGCATGTAAGGTGGTTTGAGGGCCTGAAATCAGTGACGTGACAGGTGTGTGGCTTTCGGGATCATTTGGGCAAGTAGGACCAGAACTTGATGAAGTTCCATAAAAATCTGATACTCACATGAGAGAAGCCTACATACTGGACACAAGTTGATACGGGCTCCAAAATGAAAGAAGAGGCAAAGTGTAATGAGTGAAGGGGGGGCCCGGAGTAGAATAGACATGATTAAGTAGGCAGGGGAATTGAGCAGGGCAGGTGGATCTCAGTGAGTTCAAGCCAGGGCTACATAATGAGCACAATACAGTTAGGTGTTAGGGCTGAAGAGACAGGTGATGGGTGAAGGTAGGAAAGGTAGGGAACAGATGAGCTCTCAGGCTAGAGGCAAGAGCTAAGCCCAGTAGGAGCCACTGAATATGCTCAAAGGTAGAGCTGGGTTTTCCAAGAGGACGTGGAAGAAAATATGAGAGAAAAAGGAAAGACTTACCTCTCCTTTGAAAGTATCAGAAACAGATGGAATCATGCTTCAGTGCATAGAATTCGAGACAAGCCTGAGGACTGTGGTTCAGATTTCCAGCACCATGTGCCCGCCAAGCAGCCCCAGCAATCCCAGCACACAGGAGGCAGGGAGAGAGAAGCCCTGGAGCAAGCTGGGTGCTTGGCTAGGTGAACCGGCAAGAGACCCTGCCCAAGTTAGTACAGTGAAAAGTGATGGGCATCAACCTCTGGTTTCCATGGGTGCTCTCTCTCTCTGTCACACACACACACACACACACACACACACACACACACACACACACACCAAACACAAATATTCAAGAAAAAAAAAATGAAGATGGCCAAGCTAAATAAATCTCTAGGTTTTATTTGTTTTGGAATGCACACAGATTCTCCTTTTAAAGTCGTTTAAAAAATAAAGTTAACCATGACAACAGAACTAACTGGAAAAAAAAAAAAATCAAGACGGATCATGGACGATAAATGGCAACCCACGTGATAAAACAAATGTAACGAGTCAAATGTTATACACATGAGTGTTCACTGTAGAATTCGTTCAATGATGAAAATGCTGGACAGAGATAGAGGCAGAAATGAACGTTTCAGGAAGGGGGGCACCAAGCTGAAAATAATGTTTAGGAAGCCAAGAGAAGAGGACTCATGAAACAGTTGCCAGCTCTGAAAATGGAGGAGGATTACTAAAGGGAGAAGTCCATTTAGCAAGTAAGTCACTAGCAACCTAGGTAAACGTCATTTACATAGGGTTGGGGGGGGGGGGTGTCTCAAAGTGTGTGTGTGAGAGCAAGAATGAAGACAATGGTCCTTGGGAGTGGGAAGGAAAGAGGGTGAGGCAGGGTTGCAGTGGCCAAAGAAGGAACCAATGGGGTGATTCTTAGACAGAGACTGGACAGAACAAGGCCACAGGGCTGAGAGGAGGAGAGGGTCAGAGCTCAGGGGAGGATTATATTCGGACACAGTGGGTCAGGAGAGCACGGGAAGACTGGGGTAAAGATGAGAGTGGTGCGTCGGGTGGCTTTAGTTTTCCTAGTGAAGACATACGATGTCCTCTGAGGAAGCTGTGGACAGGGTATTGGGAATAAAAATAATCCAGTGTAGACTGATTTACCCTGCTTTTGAGGAAGATGGTACATTCACATTTGAAAGTCCTCAAATCAAGGGAAGTGGTTGGAAGAGAATCACTTCTCTGGTACCAGTAACAATAAAACTTTACTTACCAAATAGCACAACTTTTCACACCGGATAGGGCAGTAAGCCATTTGGTCCGTAGCTGGACCCTTAATCCGAACATCTGCAATGCCGCCCACAGGCGGCTGCTTCCCTGGGATTGCGTTGTAATAGTCGTGATCTCTGTCTTCAGATGTGCCGTCAAGGTGTACCTCCTCGCTGTAAGAAAAAGAAGCCCCAAGAGGCTGTGTGGGAATTCGAAGGCTATAGGGGATACAAAGAAATCAGAGCCAAGCCAACCACCCAGGAAAAACATGCATTTGTGTCTTAAGTTTACTGCTGTGCTGAATCAACGTCAAACATCTGGACAGCTGCACTGAATCGTTCACAAGTCTGCACGTAATCCAGACGGAAGGAACCAGCGAAGAGTGTCAAGGGGAAGGCTTTTGCATTTCTCTCCAGTTCATGGAAGTAATGATGATGATGGTAAACAATGGCTTGCCTGAATGAAAGGCTGTTTTAACACAGCAACATAAAAATGCAGCCTTCTTGGGTATCTCTGGCTCAACTGCTTCGTTTTGGAAATGTTTCAGTCAAAGAAAATTTAGATATTGTTCTTTGGGTAGAAGGTTTGGCACACTTTCCTACATTAAGGTTTAAAAAATTAATAATAATAAGAGTGTGGTAATTCATAAAGAACATTAGAGTCATATGTGGCAAGTGGGAGAAATCTGTGAACATGCAATTGTTTTAAAAATTGAAACAGGGTAAAACAAAAAAAAAAGAAAAGAAAAGAAACAAATCAGTTTTCTTCCAAATTGGAATTAACGAAAGTTTCTTATAAAAATAATAAGTCAAATCAAATCTTTCTATGATTTTGCATGCATGGGGGGGCAGGGTCAACGTGATTGAGAACTGACGTGTGTGTGTGTGTGTGTGTGTGTGTGCGCGCGCGCGTGCGCATGTGCGCGCGCGCCAGTGGAGGTCACACATGTGGAAGTCAGACATTAACTCTGGGGCGTCAGCTCTTGCCTTCATTCTTGTTTTGAGGGCACAGCTCTCATTTCTGCTGCCTCGCTGTGGACTCCATGCTATCTCCTGATTCTCTCTCCCACCTCACCACAGGAGTTCTGGGATGGTAGCTGCCTGCCACAACATTCACCTTTCCACTGGGTTCTTGGGATCAGAACTCAGGTTACCAGGCTTGAGTGCCAAGCACTTTTGCTCACTGAGCCATCTTTCCAAGCCAAATCAAGTCTTTTTGGAATGATCTAACTATTCCAACCCACACAACTGTGTATGATCCAAGGTTTCTGGTATCCCTTTTCTTTGTTTCCCTGGATGACATACCTCATAAAGAGGGATCTTCAACCCTGGGGATCATTGATACAGAAAATGACTATTTGGGAAAGAGTACCTTTAAAAATACCCAAGGATTTCATTTCTTGAGCATGACCTTGGTAGCAGATGGTGGTCTGAAAGAATCACCTTTGGTGACCTCCAACAGAAACACCAGCCTCTTGGGTCACGTCTGTTTCACCCCACAGACTGTAGCCACTTACAACACCTACCAGCAGCTAAGAGATTCCTGCAGAGATCTCTGATTCTTACTATCTTACTCTTTCATGTTGGTTTGTCTTTTACTAGTATGCACGAGATTCAGGGTTAAAGAGAAGCTGAGAAACTTGTTAATGTTTGTTATTTATAACTCTATGCAAACCATAATTTTTGATAACGCTAGAGAAACAGGGTTGATTCCTCCTCCCACTTAGTGTCAGAAGAAGCTCTAGCTCTTATTTTTTTGAACTAAAACAGTTGTAAGAAAAAAAATTCTTCTCATTAGCAAACTTCAAAACATCATTGTAATACTTCGGTGTTTTGTTTTTAGGGCTTCGCCATGTAGCCTTGACTGGCCTGGAATTGCTGTGTAGACCAGGCTGGCCTCAGACTCACGGAGATCCACCTGCCTCTGCCTCCCAAGTGCTGGGATTGAGGCGTGCCCCACACACTCCACCATCATAGTAATGCGTTAAATATCCAGAAAGACAAAAAGTGAAACGATTGTGGAACTCTTGACTGACCTTTCCCAAGTGTTCAAGAAAGGATTTTTCAAGTACTGTTTGAACCGGAGTTCAAAGGCCTGTCCTATGGTACTTATGATATCTTGGGCCATTCCATTTTGACACTCCAGTATGTGGCACGCTGTAAAAAGACACATTAAAAATTTAGTATGGAGAAAACATTATATAAAATCAAAATAGTTCCAGAACATGAATAAATAGTTGCATTTTTTAAAAAAAAAAGATAAGGCTTACAAATTCACTTCATCTCTAAAATGTCATAATCAAACTTCATATTCCTTATGAATTAATGAGAAAAACACTCAAAATCTATGTATCTAAAAACTTAGAAAATTTGGGCCAGGTGGTGCATACCTTTAACACCAGCACTCAGGAGGCAGAGACGGATATCTCTGTCAGTTCGAGGCCAGCCAAGGCTACACAGAGAAACCCTGTCTCAAAAAGAAAGAAAGAAAAACAAAGAAAGAGAGAAAGAAAAACAGAAAGAAAGAAAGAAAGAAAGAAAGAAAGAAAGAAAGAAAGAAAGAAAGAAAGAAAGAAATTTTTATATCAAGCCTTAAATTGTCTTACTTTTTTCAGTTATTTTTAAGTGTGTGTGTGTGTGTGCGCGCTCAAATGTAGACAACTTGTGAGAGTTCGCTCCTTCCACCATGTGAGACCCCAGGGTCATACTCAGGCTTGGTAGCAGGTACCCTTATTGCCTCTAAAACAGTCTCGACTAAACGATGTTACCACCAGTCACGTGCTAGCTCTTGAATTCAGTGCAGGAGATGAGAAGGGCCGAAGTCACACAGGAAAAGCAGGTCTGAGGCTTTGTGTTTGGTGGTAGATTGCAGAAGATGGGAACAAAAAGTAATTCCCAAACCTGTCCCCTAAAGAAGTGGATACAGGCTGAGGAGATGTCTTCCTGGCCTCACCCTTTGTAAACCAGGGTTATGCAAGGGGAGCCTCACTGAGTTCCCACCGAGGAACTTCACACTAAGACTTAAATTGCAGATTTGGTGATGGTGTCATTGCAAGAAGATAGAGAGGGGTTTACTCCATGTATTCTCAGAAAAGGGCAGTCTCACAAGAGCAAGGTAGAAGCAGTTAACAGCAGGTCACCGCTAACACATCAAGTGTTACTCTGTTGCTATATGCAGCTGCCTTCTTGTCTCACGTAGCCCAGGCCAGCTACCCCCTCTCCGTGGCTGACCCTGCCTCCTGATCCTCTTCACCTCCATGCCCATGCGCTGAAATCACAGCAGCAGCACCCAGCAGTGACATCGTTCTTGGCTTGGTTAGAGTATGGGGTCATGCTTAGGGCCTTGCAACATGGAGAGTTAATTGACTGTGCTTTTTTAAAGGATGACTTAGAAGGATACTTAGGCTAATTTATAGACAGAAAAATGAAAGATAAAAATGCAGAATATTCCGATAGTTTAAAGAACTGAGGCATGAGGGAGACTTTGGTAGTGGTTTAATATATGTGAGAACACTGTTGCTGTTTTAAGTGGGATATTCTCTGAGAATAGGAGAGCAAGGAAAAGTGGGGTAGCCTAAAGAAAGAGGGTAGGGAATTGGATGAAATACTGGGAAAACCATTGGGAGTTCCTATTGAGACTTTATCACTGGAACAAATTAGTCACAAGGAAATCTGAGGAAGGAAGGAAGGAAGGAAGGAAGGAAAAATCTGCTCTCATGAGACCATTAACTGTTCTAATCTGCAGTGTGAGCTTTGGGAGAGACATCATCCATATGAGTGCAGAAAGCCGTTCACTCACCCCCCAGCCCTCAGAGGCAGCAGACAGTGTTGGGTAATAGAATCTGTAACCAGTTTTTGGTTTGGGGAAACAGGGTTTCTCTGTGGAGCCCTGGCTGTCCTGGAACTCACTGTGTAGACCAGGCTGGCCTCTGCCTCCTGAGTGCCGGGACTCAAGGCCTGTGCCACCGCTGCTGGGCTGTGACAGTCTCTCCTAACTCCATGTTGGCAACAACTCAAGGGATGGGCCATATTCTCACTCCAGGATTGACTTGGCTTTGGGTGATTTTACTAATTTGTACATTGTATCTGAATCTGATTAATCTGGAACTTTCTTTCAGTGTTTTAGCTGTGTGCATTCCTGCTGTGTTTCACACCATCAAGTACATCACGTAATTTGACCATAGTTGTGCCTTCCCATTTTTTCTTTAGTCATCCATCCTCCCTCTCCCACCAGCCTCATCCCTCCCCCCAGTCTCCCTTCTGCTCTTATATCATAGCGCCATGTGTGTAAAGGTTTTATTTACCTATAGAAAATCTCAGTGCTCATACTTGAGAGAAAACATGTATTTATCTTTCCACACATTTATCAAAAAGATTTATGTCTCTGAACACCTTCAGGAGAAATGTGCTCTCGGATCCTGAAACAGACTTGGAAGCTAATAATAATTTTGAAAACTCAAAATATCTTTAAATTCATATAATTTCTACCAGCAGAAAATGTTTGGTCTCTTTTTAGACTGCCATTTCATATTGCCTCTATATTTTTCTTTAGTGAAGCTTTTTAGGATAAAAAACATATAAGTTTTTTTAAGAATATTTTGTTCAATGAATATTTGATTAATTTCATCAATATTAATTTGTAAAAAAATAATTGTGGAACTTACTGGGTGATAAATAATTGCTTGCATTGTTTGAGGATATAGAAGTTTCTCCTTTCTGGTTGAGTCTTAAATACTGAGAAATGACACGTATCCTCAGAGATGCGTTCTCCAGAGGGAACAAGATAAAGTTGTATCACATTATATTAAAAGATCATTTACTTGAAGTTTTCTTGTCTGTTAATTTCTGATCTCATATATATGTGGCTCCATTAAAAATGAAATAAAAACAGGAATGATTGCAAAATCATTTGGGGGGCTTAAAAAGGTATCAAGAGACAAAGATGAGGAAGACAGAGAAAGAGGCAGGGGATTCCAGCATCAGTAAGTAAGTAGGCAACACTAACTTCCTGTGAGGGAAGTAAGAGAATGAATGACTAGAAGTATTCTGTGAAAAAGATTCAAAGCTGAGTTCAAACTCCAATCATGGCACCACGGGTGTAGCCCTGGACATGCTAATTGTGGTGGCTTGAAGGAGAATGGCCCCCATGGGCTCGTATACCTGAATGGAACTCTTCGGGAAGGATTAAGAGGTGTGGTCTCGTTGGAGGAGGCGTGTCACTGGGGGTGGGTTTGGGGTTTCGAAAGCCCATGCCACCCCACTTAGCTTTCTCTGCCTTGTGCCTGTGGATCAGGACTGCGAGCTCTCAGCTACTGCTCCAGTGCCATGCCTGCCTCCCACCGTGATAATCACGGTCTCACCCTCTGCAACTATAAATCCTCAGTAAACTCTTTCGTTTACGAGTTGCTTTGGTGGCGGTGTTTCCTGACAGCAATAGAGAAGTAACGATGACACTGCTCCGTGTCAAGGGCCTCACTTAACAAAGACAATAGGGCCAGCTATTGTTTACTTTAGAATAAGTCTGGCATTTCCTTTTCATGGTAGCTTAAGCCCTCTGAGGAACAGGACGAGAAGCTGGGCACATGGGAAGAATTAACCCAGCTATCCCCCACTCCCACCCCCGCTGCCACTCGAGCATACTCCGAGAGGCTTTGACTTTTTTGCAGCTTCTCTGACTTGAAAACACCCAGAACTTTTAGTTTTGTCTGTTCATAGGAAGAATCTCCAAAATAATTTTCTGCTTTGCTCTGACTACCCTGTTGCTGGCCTATTACTTTTTTTAAGGAGACGGAACAGAAAGGAGAAAAGGAAAACAGGAAAAAAAAAAAAAAAAAAGCAAGGGCACCTGTCTCTCTCCACGAAAAGGGCAGGCTGGCCCTAGACCCGTGCCACGCCCACCTCCTCTCAGGAAACCCCTATTTTGACAGGGATACTCTGTGAATGCCCTTTTAGTCTGATTACAGGGCAGCAGCATAGGGACAGGCCGTGAATCAGATCCAAAGCCATCAAGCCAGAATTCTTGGTCAAGAACTACCCCACCTGCAGCTACCAGGTAAGAGAAGAAAGACAAATACATAAGAAGTCCCGTGTCCTCAAGCATAGTGATTCCCGGTGACATCAGAACAGCCATGGCAGTCAGAGCTTCGCTCGCTGCCCACATCTGGAATCACGGCATACCTGTTTTCTTTCCCAAGTCCACAGTTCTACCTGTGAACACCAGTAAGAGAAAGTGTCGCAGGAATCTTATCATTTCCCTTCACCTGGGCTCCTAACAGTGATATTACACAAAGGAATGAAAATTACTCTCAGGGGGTAGAAAGTCTTTTAAGAGTTTTGTTTAAGTTTCTCAGAGGGTGAGACCATGGCCATCCTGGCTAGGAGCATGGCAGCGGTAGGCGGGCATGGCAGTGACACGGTTAGCTCACATCTTGATCCACAAGCAGCACGAGGCAGAGAGAGATAACGGAGAGTGGCGGGTGGCGTGGGCTTCTGAAACCTTAAAGCCCACCCGCACGCAGGGACACATCTCCTCAGGATGTCACTATATACGCCTGGCCGGCCTGGAACTCCCTGTGATCAGGCTGGCCTCCACACACAGAGATCCGCCTGCCTCTGCCTCCTGAGTGATGGGATTAAAGGCAGGCACGGGCACTCTCAGCTGTCCATTTTTCCTAAAGACCCAACATCTTGAAATAAAGGTCAGTGACCCGGATCATCCACCAGATGGCGCTGTGGGACGCAAATGGGAGCACGTGCCTCTGTAAGTCACAGACAAAACAAAACAAAACGGCAGAGTCACAGGCAGCAGCCCGTGGGCTTTATAACCTTAAATATAAATTAGTGGGTCCGTTTAGATTGGTTTTCTTTGGCGGGGGCGCTTCCTGTACACAAACAGTCCAGGTAAATGGGGGCCTCTTCTCAGGCTAAGCTCAGATAAAATATGGAAACCTCCTTAGCCTGCCACGGCTTTGGAGAGCTGAGGACAGCATGGACTTCTGCCCAGCAGCTACAGGAGAAAGATGGACTTGCCAACGACATTTTTACTGGAACTTGCCTTCTCTACAAAGAAGGCCTTTCATAAACTGAAGAGTTCATCAAAGGGCCCTAGCCAAGATAGGGTACTGTGATGGCGGCTTGATCTGGATGGGAAAGTTGAA